CTCCATGGTTCGGTCGGGTACATATACGTACATACGCCTGTACATACATGTATGCATACACATATACGCGATATGCATACACATATACGCGATATGCATACACATATACGCAATATGCATCACATATACGCGATATGCGCACACATATACGCGATATGCATGCAGACATACGCGTATATAGAGGGAATTTACGCGGTGTGTGTGCCTATATGACGCATACACATGAGAGGGACTGGAGAGAAAAACGAGGAGAGTTTGTGTCGCGTCGAGGGCGACGTCCCGCGTCCTTTTTTTCTCTTTTTTTTTTCTAGGTTGACACCTAGATGACGTCAATGGGACTGACCGCGATAAAATCCAGCAATGGGATCCCTTTTCTCTCTTCTCTTTTTTCCTGTCGCTGGTTCTAAGCTTCTGACCGGCTGCGAGTCGAAATTCTATATTCCGAGGGGAAATTGATACGCGTGGAAAGAATCGTTTCAGAGAAATTCGGGTGAAATTAAATTCCTGGGGTCATGTTTGGCTGACATCGATGGGAATGACTTTTCGGCGCAAGGTTGAAGATTCAGCAATGAGTACCTTTTTAACTCCTTTTCATTTCGGTTATTCAGCAAAAATCGAGTGAAATTAAATTTCCCTAGTTCATGTTTGGTTGACATCAATGGGAATGAGTTTCTGGCGCAAGGTTGAAAATTCCGCAATGAGTGCTTTTTTTTACTCTTTTTTCATTTCGGTTATTCAGCAAAAATCGAGTGAAATTACTTTTCCTAGTTCATATTTTGATGACATCGATGACAAATTGGTTTTTTAGGTTGAAACCCGAATGATCGATGGAAACTTGAGCTTGTTCCGAGAAACGAAAAACTCAGCAATATTTTAATCGTTCCTTTTTCTTTATACCCGTAAATTAAAATTGACCGTGCGATTGCAAGTCTGTATTTTACTTCGGGCAAAAAATGACTTGTAGTTGAAGAACAATCAATTCAGATAATCGAGTGAAATTAGTTTTTTAGGTTGAAACCCGAATGACATCAATGGAAATTGAGCCTGCAAAGTGAATTAAAAAACTCGGCAATGTTTTAATAATTCCTTTGTCTTTGTATCCGTAAATTGAAATTGACCCTACGATTGCAAGTATGTTCTCTACATCAAGCAGAAAATGACTTGTAGTCGAGGGAGAATCAATTCAGAAGAGATCGAGTGACATTAGTTTTCTAAATTGACACCTGAATGACATCAATGGAAACTGAGCCTGCAAAGTGAATTAAAAAACTCGGCAATGTTTTAATAATTCCTTTGTCTTTCTATCGGTAAATTGAAATTGACCGTGCGATTGCAAGTCTGTACTGTACATCGAGCAGAAAATGACTTGTAGTCGAGGAAGAATCAATTCAGAAGGAATCGAGTGACATTAGTTTTCTAGGTTGAGACCTGGACGACGTTGATGGGGCCGACCACGCGACACGAGGATGGAAACCCAGCAATGGGTTCCGTTTATATCGCTCGATCGAACTTATCGACCGTGTGATTACGCACCGTACCAATAATTCGGGGAGATAACTGACGCGTATAAAGGCAAAGTACACCGAGAACATCAATTTAAACTCCCTTTTTCCAGGCTCACGTACATCTACACGGCTTCGATGAACCGATCCACCGATACGAGGCCAAAGACTCGGCAACAAGTTTTTAATAGCGCCGATTCAAGGTGGCCGATCGTGCGTTTACAAGTTGGAAATTCCATGTGAGGTGAAACCCGATGGGTGTGGAAATAGAAATCAATCCGGAGAAAATCGAATGAAATTACTTTCCCAGGTTGACAGGTGGATGACGTCAATGGCTCAGGAATAAAAGCTTAGCAAGAGGCTTCTCTAAATCGATGGATTCATTTGGATCTGTTAGCAGTCTTATCACCCCTGGTAAGAAGAAAAGGAAAGTAAATAAATAGACATTAAAAGCTAGATAAGATAATGGAATTAATTAATCCATTCCTCCGCCACTAAGCCGAAAACTCGACGATTCTTTAAATCACTCAACGTATCCCAATATAGTATTGCATGTGAAAAAAATAATTTAATCGAGAAAATTCAATTGAAAAAAAAAGAAAAAAAAATAGAAAAACCTTTTAAAAGGACAATTCAATTTAGAACAATTTAACGTAAACTACATTTTAAGTCGATAGCGGTTGCTTTCGATGATTTAATGCAATTGTTTTCGTCAAACTCACGCCCCGTAGACATAACTAAAGTCCGACGATAAAAATAAATATTAGTCGATATTAGTCACTCGTCAATTGTAAATTGCCAATCTTGAGTGGCAACGAATCGTGTTAGCCGTAGGCCCCTGGGCACCTTGTTCTAAAGAATAATTTAACGGCGCCGTAAACCTCCAGTCATAAAATTGATTAAAGTGTCTTAATAAAGTAGCCTCTCGTAAATCACCCCGGGCCTAAAGTAAAGGAAAAAAGAAAAGAAAAAAAAAGGAAAATATCAATAACGAGCGGTGGTTTCTCTTTCACAAATCCGCGATCGCAAAAAAACTAATATCGACACGACACCCGGCACTTTGTTAATAAAGTCGTCACCCCGACCTTTACGTAAACGTTATTAAAACAATTGGAATGTGCAATCGAGACGTTCTAGGCGGCCTCGAATTGTTCAGGGGAATGGCATGCACTTTGACTCTGTATAAGAGATATGGATCATGAAATGGCACCAATGACCATTCAATTGCACAATATTAGTATCGCGAAACGCACGAGGCTAAATTCTTGCCCAATACTTGAGGGAGTTGAAAGAACGCAGAAAACGTCTTTACCACCTCGACGTCATCCGGTTGACATTTTTCCCTCTCCGATCATTAGAAAGCATTCCATCGAGCCTTCGACAAGAATTACCATACAATTTCAACTCAAATGACTAAAAATCAATATACAATCGAATCAAATTCCATGCTATTAAGAATATCTATCCAAACTAAAATATGCATATAGTCAAAGTTTCTTTCAAGGAACGATACTTCGAAATGTCGTACACAATTGTGTTCAGGATTTTGATACACAAGTATATAAATTTAAGAGGGCACGTCTACCGAATTTCACAATCTGTTATGCACTAATTTTCAATCACGTGCCCATACACAATTATACGCATTTTGAAAAAAGCACATCATAGTACATTTATTAATATTTCTACTTCTCTCTTTTCTCATCTTACCATCTCGCTTAAACTTTCGATCACTTTTGTTCAGATTCTCATATTGAAATGCAGCTGTCAAAATGTAGCAAACATTTGCCCAGTTTTTATTTCGAGTTACACTATTCTGATGTTCATATGTCATTATATTCAAAAGGGTTAAAATATATCGGAACATCTTTAACAGCGTTCATGTACAGATCAATTTATTTGATCATTTGTGTCAAGCAATACGGGCACCTAACCTCTTCAGAGTATCGTATATCTCAAGAACTTGCAACAATGTTTCTCTGACACTGCAGCCGTACCATTACCCCTGGCTGCACCCAAAGTAGAATGCATTTAAGAGATCGTAACTTACCTCGTTGAAGGCCATCTTCTTTGTTAGTCTTGTAGACTCTCTGGTACTAGCAGCGCCTTCCCCCTGTCCCACTGCTCCCTGAGAGAGTCTTCCTTCTCAAATGGACCCCTACTACCAGGAGCCAGCTCTCGAGTTCTTATCCAGAGTTCGCAGGAGGATCCAAGACTCGCAGGGCATCGAAGACCGCGTTGCGAGTTCAATGACAGCACCACGGGCGACAAACCTAACTGGCAGCCGCCCTCGACAGCGACGCACATATGTGTCTCGGTAGTGGCGTGCGGAGGATCACTTGGGGTCTTCCTTGGTATCGGCGTGGCACATACGTCACAAAGCAGAGAACAGTCCTTGGTGGCAGCGTACTATGACATAGCAAAAAGGAATGCGTTAAGGATTGCATAGTAAGGTCTGTTTTAAATATTGTACTAAAGCATTTGTCTTGTTAGGAATGAGTTTAGAAATTTGTCAAGAATTTTACTATACAGCTATGGCTATATCCCGAAGAATGCAAAGAATAATAAATGATTATTAATAGAAGTACGTCATGGGCCATTTGAGGAGTACAAATTTCTGTCTTAAATGAGCTTTTTCCTTGGAAGGCTTCAAGAGCACATAAATCTGGAAGGTAATGACGTATTAAGAAACGAAAAGGAACGCAACATGCCGAGGGCCATCCAATGGGTCAAGGAAACTCAAGAATATGCACGTTATAGGAGAGAGGACTTATGTTGCAAATTATCCCGTGGGCTGAGATCCATTGTGTTAAGCGAAGACTATTACGGAAGAAAGGAAAATGACAAGAATTACTTGGTAGGTTGCAGCCTATTTTCCTAGCAAAAAGTAACCACATGGAATGGAGTAATCCGTCAAAAATCACGCAGGAACGCTCCAGGGATTAACCCTTTATGGACATTTCTAAAAAAAGCCGAAGCATTAAAATATGAACGATGCAAGATTTGATGTCCCTCACGAAATCCAAATGACGAGTTAGTATTGGAAACTTCTCCCAACCTCGATCTCTACAGAAAAAGGAAAACGATAAATCAGGAGACGATCCAAAGAGTCAAGGATCATTTTTGGAGTATTTAGAACCACGGAAGGGACGGCGTGTGTTAAAAAAACTCCTTATGACTTAACTTCCTACCCATCCAACAAAAAAGGGGAGCATTTAGGAGCACCAGGAAGGTTAAAGTTCGTCTTTTGGAGCAACTACCCCCAATGGGGTATCTTTGAAACCACCTTACGACCACTGACGACTCCCGCTCCTACGGGGAAGGAATAATATACAATTATCGAGGATTACCCGGAGGGGGGTCGAGGTCCGTCTTTTCGAGGGTCCAGAAGTGCACACGTCACAGGAGCGAAGGAGCACGCGAGGGATCACCTGGCGGTTCTTGGGGTCGTCCTGGAGCGCCTCATCGGCGAGGTCGCTCCGGCATTCCTCAGGTGGGACACCGGGTCGCTCCGGTGGCGGCGGTGGCGCAGCTGCGGAAGCACTGGCGAGTGGCGAGCTCCGCCGAGCTCGGACGGGCACTTCGCGACGGGGCTCCCAGGTGCCGCGGCTCCTCGACCGAGTCTTCGGGGAACGTCGGGGCGCTCCGTCCTCCGGGTCGCCGGCCGCTCCGGAAACTCGGCGAGGTGGCTACCCACCGGGATTTCTCCGGCCGTCTCGCGAATATTTACGTCTGGTGCGAAGGCATTCGCAAACAGAAGCGCGCCATCTTGCTCTCTAGGAGAGGTACGCTGCGCGCGACGCCTCTACAGGTCACAGGTGCGAACCAGCGCGGCTCCACTGCCGCGAGTACCCAGACACCGATACATGCGAACCCGACGGAGGTGCGGGTCGAACTGCTCTCTCATTGGCCGAGCGGCCAGGCCGTGCCGCCGGCGGCAGCGCTCGCGACATCTGTGAGCACCGCTAGGAACCTCTCACGTGACCGCGGTGGAATTTCGGCGCTAGGATTTGAACAATTTTGAAAGTTATACGGAGAAAAATTCGATTCACAGATTCAGGGACACGTAAATATCAATTCCATTGATAGGAGATATTACTAAATTGCTGAAACATTATTTTGGGAAAGGAGAACTGATAGTTACCTCTTACCATGGGAGTTTCCATAAAATGTATTAAAAACTAGGAAACTATTTCATTCCATACCCGCGACATCTGTGAGTGGAACTTCGAATTTCCTGCGCGAGAGTTCTGTTCAAACGGAGGCGCGAGAATTGAACAATTTTTAAAGTAATATAAAGCAATAAAATTAACTCGAGAATTCTGCAAAAACGTGAATAGTGTCCTGCATAAGAAATTAATTGGCTTTAACAAAGCTGCCTTTCATTAAGGGTGGTAAAAGTTATCTTTTATCATATGAGCTTACCAACATAATTCTTCTGAAGAACTTGAAAAGTAGATACTTCGTGTCACAAGTGTTAATCAGTTTAGTTTGAACCCTTTTAATTCAAACACACCTTAAATAATCATGTATATATGCTCTACAGTTTTTCTTTATCACATGCTGCGCACGGATTTATTCTAAAGTACATATTTTAGACCAAAGATTTTAAAAGGTGAGATACCCGTCAGGTCGACAACTCTTACAGTTCATATACTTGCTCCATAGACGGCGCCATAATCGCAATGCCCATCTCTGATGTTACCAAGAAATAAACTCAAACTCTGGACTCCTAATCTAACCACAAGCTAAAAAGCCTAGTATAAATGTATGGGAAACGAGAGAATTTTCTGCTTCAGTTTTTCGTGAATGATGAACTCTTTTATCAATCGTCAATAAACCAAACGGCCGCCATTACCGAGCGCGGAGACGTGTGAGCGGTGGCGCCACCAAGCGGCGGCCGCTGACGCGCAGCTCGCGGGGAAACAACGCACGGCGACACGGCGAGTCAGCGGTCCACCAAGATGGCAGTTGGGTTTCACGTTTGATGGGTACCGTAACTCGGATGGGAAATTCACGCGAGACACGTAGCGAGACCTCGAAATTCTCCGCAGTGGCCGGCCCGCAGTACCCCGAGGAACTTCTAACCTAAAAGAGTCACCTTTTCCCGACACTCGGCTGGTCGACGCGTCGCGCATCTTGGCAGCGGTGACACACGAACGTGAGTAACTTCGCAGAAAGAGACGGCTATTCTTCCTTAAAAGCGGTGAATTTCGCCAGATTTCGCCTGCGGCGAATACTAGAGATGAAACTGTGGCCTGTTCACCGAGGCCCCGGTTCCCGACATCATCCTTTTTCTTTCTTCTTTTAAAAAGACCCCTTGCACAGTCCAGTGACGACGCATTACGGGATCATTGTCCCGGTTTCCACAACGGGACAACCTTTAATTAAGAGGGTGGGGTCCTCTTCGTGGGTATACACGTAAACAAAAGGACTCTGGGAATATCCTTACTCTAGTAAGATGACTTCCGTACCCACAAGTTCCACTGTCGAGTCTTAACATACACCTTGTCGAGGTCTACGTATGTCAGTGGAAGGTTGAAATTTGCCAAGGTACAGAGACGTGGGGCAACGTGTCAAAACGTGAAGCGATCAGGTATTTTAGGCTCTCTACAGGCTTTCTGAGAGTTGGCACGTAGTTCGAAATCGTTGCCTTAATTTTTCAACATGTTAAGTGATAACTATCGGAGCGGAATTAAGGTTTCATAAATTTTAATAGGGTAAATATTAAATGGGAGAAAATATTTATTTAATAGAAGGTGTGTCAAAACGAGCGAACCATCTTTATGTTGGAAACGGTAGTTTGTCACTTAAAGCTTCCTGCTCCTTTTCGACAAATCACTTGTTAATATACATTTATAGTGGTGAAAATCTTAAAATAGTTAAGCGAACCAGGAGAAGAGTAGGACATAAAATCTCATAGTAGCGATAGATTTTTGGAGGTATCCATGACCTTGACATCTTGGAGAAGCGATGAGGTGTCCAAGGATCAATATTTAGATGATTTATAGCAAGTTTCCATGTAACGGCAAGGGTGAGATCTCCATGGAAGGACATACATATAAACACCCATCTTCAGCTTGCAATTGATATCCATCCACAATTGAAAATACCTAACTCGATCAACCTTTACACCTAATCATCAAATGAATAATTTACTATCAATTCTCGCCAGTGAGACCAATTCTTACAGAATCTTCTGCTCCTGAAAATCAGCTCCGAAATAGGAACTTGACATCGATCGTCACCCAACAACTGGAGCAATAGAACGTTACAGTAACTACTCTAATAAGAAGAACTGCCCTGTGTGTAATTCACCCAAAGGACTTCTCATCATAATCATCGTCATCGTCAACAGTGGCCTTATCACCTTTGGCATCCTACTTTCATCGTAATTATCATAATCAGCCACTTCATTCGTATCTTCAGCACCGGATGAGAACATTTCGTTATCACTCCCAGCATCGTGACATCACGATCGACGTGTTAATGATCGTCGACGTCGTCATCTTCAGCAAGTTGAATTATCTTCTGACCATCTTTCGCCTTCGAGTAGATGTCACTGATGATTGTGACGTCATGGACGACGTCTTACCGATCTTCATCGTCATCATCAGCAAGTTGAATCATCTTTTGTCCACCTTTCGCCTTCGAGCGGATGCCAGTGACCATCACGGGGACGAGCGGACCATGATTGGCAACTCGTCGCACGTACCACGACCCTCCCCCGTGTGCGTGCACACAGGTCAGCGTGCACTCGTGCGTACACGGAAATTACCCGATTCCACGGTACGATGCCCACAGTCTGCTGGAAGTCTCGGACCCGTTTCATCCGCGTTCCCTTCGAGCTCGACCCCGATTCCCTCCGGACGCCCACTCGCTATTTGTCCAACCGGGCGAATTCTCGGACGATTTTCCCTTTTTCAGAAATCCTGTTCTCCCTGCGAGCGCGCGACCCCTCCCCAGGAGGAGGCAAGAGCGGGCTCGAAGTGGTCATTTCCGCAGAAACTCCCACCGATGCCTTCGTAGCCGAGCCACCGGGAAGGGGGCCGATCGACAAACGGAACGTGGAACGGCATGACAAATTTCTGCACGTATACTTGGAGCGGAGCAATCGAGTTTATCTCGGGAAGGGAACTAGGAGGAATCGTAACGAGTTTATCACGGGAATGGAATGGGCATAATTCATCCAGGAAATGGAACTAAAGGCCCCGAATTTATGTAGGAATTGGAAGGAAAGCGGTTATTTCGGAAATTAAACCAGAAGGAACTGAGTTTATCGTGGATATAAAACGAATGGGTATTTGGTAGGTTTTGAAAATGGAATGAAGAAAGAGCGAATTTGTCCAGGAAATGGGATAAACAGGAACTGTATTTATCTGGAATATGGAACGAAGGGGGGCAGCATATGTCTAGGAAATGGAGCAAAAGGAAACTGAATTTATGTGAGAATAAAGAGGAATCGAGTTTATCTCGAGAAGGGAACGAGGAGGAATCGTAATGATTTTATCACGGGAATGGGCATAATTCCTCCAGGAAATGGAATCAAAGGACACCGAATTTATATAGGAATTGGAAGGAAAGCGGTTATTTCGGAAATTAAACCAGGAGGAACTGAGTTTATCGTGGATATAAAACGAATGGGTATTTCGTAGGTTTTGAAAATGGAATGAAGAAAGAGCGAATTTGTCCTGGAAATGCGATAAACAGGAACTGTATTTATCTGGTATATGGAACGAAGGGGGGCAGCATATGTCTAGGAAACGGAGCAAAAGAAATTGAATTTATGTGGGAGTAAAGAGTAATCGAGTTTATTCCGGGAATGGACCAAATTTATCTATGAAATGGAACTAAAAGACACCGAATTAATATATAAAAGTGGAGAAATAAGACCAGGTTTATCTAAGAAATTGAACGGAAAAGAACTGCATTCATCGTCGATACCAAACGAAAAGGCATTGAGTACATCTTGAAAGTAGAACGAAAGAAAAGCAACTTTATCCTGGGAATGGAATGAAGGGAATTGTATTTATCTTAGATATGGATCAAAAGTGGTTCCAGTTTACTTAAGAAATGAAAAGTAATTTATCGAGGATGTGGAATAAAGAGCGGCCACGTATATCTAGGAAGTGGGAAGAAAAGAAGCCGAATCTATCTCGGAGCGGCGAGGAATCGCGTTTATCTCGAAAGTGAAACGAAGAGGGATCGAATGTACTTTAGAAGTGAAAGAAAAGGAAGTGCCCGAAAGTAGTCACGGACTAAGAAAGAGATAAATCATATCAGACATAAATTTATTAACTTTACGAAGAGCCCAGCTCGGCCCCCCAATTCGATATCCTTCCGACATCGGATCCATATGCAAATCTGCAATCTATATGCAATAAATTGCATTGCTGGTCCTCATCAAGGGAATTCGTTTATTCCGGCGAGGAGGGCTCTTACTTTTCTCGCTCGAGCGAAGAGTATGGAAATATGTATGTTTAGTGCTGTTACGAAATTTGCATAAGCACGAAACGCCTTCAACCGGTGGTAACTCCAGAAGGAACACCCACCCAACGATTTCGTTCCCGAGATACGAAGGAACGTGTGGGCCGAAATGCCGATCGGCGTTAAACAGTTGGCTGGCGATCGTTCCTAAACGAAACGAGAAAGTGAACAGAACGATCCCCCGCTATTACGGATTCGTCATCGAGGGACGACAATATAATATTAAGAAAATGATAACCAGAGTCGCGCGAAGCGCTAATAAAAAAAAATAATCCTGCCTATTATAATATATGGTTCTGCGGAAGCAAAAGATTTCAAGAGAAAAATGAGAAATCTGGTTCCAAGGACGAGGACCAGAATTCCTACCTTAGGACTTCATGTAATTTATTAATACTCACATTTCTTCTATATATATTAACGCGTCTTCTTCGCATGTTAACGAAGGGGCGGACGTTCCAGCGAGAAGGAACCGGCGAATGTTATAAAAATGAATTATGGCAGTATATATTTTAAGCGTTGAAGCTGGACGTAAAAGAAATAACGACGGGTTTGGCATATTAAGATAAAAAGATCCCCGAATATGGTCGAAGGAAAGCCGGGCAGTCTCGGATTGCAGTCTCGGATGAAAGATCGGGGAAAGCGGCGGATCTCGGAAGGAAACCCAGACGGAAGATCGAGGAGCGAGGACAAAAGTCGGCTGGGTTTATTTGCGTCTATACATAGAAGGGGACACTTACCTTTAACCGAGGCTCTTCGCCCGAGCGGGGCGTTAGATTCCCTCGTTCAAGTGCAGCCAAGTGCAATCCGCTTTCGCGGCTTCTCCAAGTGCCGACCGAGGAATGGAGGGTGTCGGCAACTGCTCATCAGGCCTCGAAAAATCCTTTTTCATCCCTCTTAACCTTTTTCTAATCCGCCCTGGCGTCTACTTTTTAGGCTCCTCTAGTTTTTCAAGGTGAAGTGAAACACGCCGAGGAACTTGATCGACGTCGGTAAAAAAGGTTTTTCTAAATACCTATGTTGCTGACGTTGGTTTTTATATCGGTAGTTGTGTCGAATTATATCGAGTATTGTACTAAATGACATGCTCCATTTGTCGTTTTCATACAATCATTATATGTCTAATATTATGTCTAATACCCTTAAAACAAAAGTTTCACTCTTCACCTCAAGGTGAAGTGAAACACGTCGAAGGGCTTGATCGACGTCGGTAAAAAACGTTTTTCTAAATACCTATGTTGCTGACGTTGGTTTTTATATCGGTAGCTGTGTCGAATTATATTGAGTATTGTACTAAATGACATACTCCATTTGTCGTTTTCGTACAATCATTATATGTCTAATATTATGTCTAATACCCTTAAAACAAAAGTTTCACTCCTTCACCTTAAGGTGAAGTGAAACACGTCGAGAGGCTTGATCGACGTCGGTAAAAAACGTTTTTCTAAATACCTATGTTGCTGACGTTGGTTTTTATATCTGTAGCTGTGTCGAATTATATCGAGTATTGTACTAAATGACATACTCCATTTGTCGTTTTCGTACAATAATTATAAAGAAATCGAAGTAAACTCCAGAAATCCCTTGGATTCTTGGTTTCTTAGACCCCAATTGACTGCAGAGGGACCCCCTGTGCCATCTGTGATTTCCAGGTCAATTATATTTTCTCTCTAGGACCTCGTATTACCATCGTTTTAGCACAGAAGCGCGCAAGACACTTTTCTGTGCCTTTATCCCGTTCAAGTGCGAGTTTCTCGATTGCCAGAGTGTTCTCAATTGCCGTACAATTGTCCTGACCCTTTCGTTTCTCATATTAAAGCATGCACCTGTCTCTTCAGGGTTCTTTAAACCATTCTTGTTTTTCTCTCTTCGCTTTTTAATTCATCCTTCTACTTTCTACTTTTGTCCCCAAGTATTCGCACGTAATGTTCTAAGAAAATTCTTATATCGAGGTTTTTTCGATAGTCGCATATTGTTCTTGCATCTCGTGAGATGAGGAACTTTGTAGTCGTATGAGACTTAACTGAAACTATTAAGTCGACAGTGACGTTCAAACTAATGTCCCTTACGTTCCTGATGGAGCATGCACTTGTCTCTTCAGGGTTCTTTAAGCCATTCTTATTTTTCTCTCTTCGCTTTTTAATTCATCCATCTAATTTCTACTTTTTTCCCCAAGTATTCGTACGTAATGTTCTAAAAAAATCCTTCTCTTATCTTGAGGTTTTTTCGATAATCGCATATTGTTCTTGGATCTCGTGAGATGAGGAACTTTGTAGTCGTATGAGACTTAACTGAAACTATTAAGTCGACAGTGACGTTCAAACTAATGTCCCTTACGTTCCTGATAGAGCATGCACCTGTCTCTTCAGGGTTCTTTAAGCCATTCTTGTTTTTCCCTCTTCGCTCTTCAATTCAACCTTCTAGTCTCTACTTTTTTCCCCGAGTATTTGTACGTCATGTTACAACAAATTGCTTACGTTTTGTGCTTATCAGAGTATTGGTATATTATGTTACAGGCAAATCTTGCATTTCGTGCCTTTTTTGATAGTCGCTTATTCTTGGATCTCGTGAGATGAGGGGCTTTACGGTCGAGTGAGACTCGACTGAAACTGCTGAGTAGGCAGCGACATTGTTTAAATAAACATCCCTCGCGTTCCTGGGGAGCGTACACCTCTGCGTACCTCTTTGAGGTTTTTATAATCATTCTTGTTTGTCCCTCGTCGCTTCTTCGATTCAACTTTCTAGGACTCAATTCTCGAGTTCATACGATCAACTTTTGCATGCGAAATTAACAGTTTCGTGCAAGACTTTCAAGTGTTGACCGATGACGCGACTTCGCAACAATGCAAAATTTTTCCTGCAAATCTATCCGTAAGTGAACAAAATCCATATGAATTCGAGAATACGATGCCTGGTCTCTACTGTTTTCCCCGAGTATTTGTACGTCATGTTACAACAAATTGCTTACGATTTACGCTTTTCCGCGTACTGGTACATTACGTTACAGACAAATCTTGCATTTTGTGCCTTTTTTGGTAGTCGTTTATTCTTGGGTCTCGTGAGATGAGGGGCTTTACGGTCGAGTGAGACTCGACAGAAAGTGCTGAGTAGGCAGGGAGGTTGTTTAAATAAACGTCCCTCGCGTTCCTGGGGAGTGTGCACCTGTGCCTCCCCGGCAGCGGGCGTTTCCTTTTTCCCGACTTGCGAGAGCCGGGGATCTTCTTTATATCTCGGCATCCAGAAATACGAGCCCGAGGTTTCTCAGATCTTCCCGACATTTCTAGGCGAGACCCCGAGGAAGAGGAGAGGAGGAGGAAGCCCGCGAAGGATTCGATGACACCGGCGCCGCTGAGCTCGAGGGTCGGGAAAGCTGCCGAGGGAGTCTTCGGGGTCCTCTTCGAGGTGGTCCCCAGGAAGCGGTCCGGATGCGGGGGGCACGGTGACGCAGAAGTCTGCGAGACTCGCCGGGAGATCGCGCCAAGGAGGGTCCAGAATCTCCTGGAGGTCCCGACAACCGAGAGGAGGACCCAAAAGAAGAACCCGAAGAGACTCCCGAGGAAGGCCACCGAGCTGTGCCCTAGTAGTCGAAGCTATTCCTTCGGGATCGCCGAATTCTAAATCCTGGGTTAGTCGTTTGACACCTGGAGAAGAAATCTGAGGGAATATTTGAGACATCGGGAAGTTCAGGGTTCGAAGATCTGGGAAGAAGCGGTCGAAAGAACGATCTGCTCGTTGCGGTAACTTTGGCTAACTTCCTAGAGTGCCTCGCATTATCGCGCGCCTGGAAATCCTCGAAGATCGGTGCTGCGCGTTCTGGACGTCCGCCGACTCTCCGGAGAAGGTCCCTGTGGACGCTTTGCCAAAGTCATTGGAGAGCTCCTCGCGCTCCGAGGCCCTGGAAGAGGAGCCGCCCGCGGAATTCCATCGCGCGCCGCAGTCTCGACGTCTAGAAGGCCTAGAGAGGGATTCTACGAATCGGGAAGCATCTACTCGAAGAGGTTCACAAGAGATCTCTTCAGGACCTCCACCCTGTCTTCCTCCCTTCTCCGCACCTTCGTGTGCCCCGAAAGAACCTCCAAAGATCCCTCCACCGCGTACCGGAGTCCCTCCGGCACCCTGAAGACCCTCCCAGAAATTCTTCATCGGACTTCCCCTCTAATCTAAACTTTGAACGAACCAAAATTCCCGGAGGACTTTACCATCCAGCATCGGAATCTCTCTGGCACCCTAAAGACGGCCCCATCGCATCCGGACGGTTCACCACCCCGAAGACGCCTCCAGGACCCTTTCTCTTGGCTTCCTGGAGCGACCATCGCTCCGAAAGTTACCAAAGCTCCGTGAAAGCCGTACGATACCCGCGCCTCGACGTCTTCTGGACATCTTTCCTAGGCCTCTTCGGCCCTCTTAGACGCTCTTCGGGATTCACTTCGAGGTCGAAGCATGACCAGCGAGGAGAGCATCGGAAGCTGCAGTCTGGACATCGACCGATCCGCGTCCGAGCGATCAGGTTGGAGAACACGAATCCCGTTCGGCCGTTCGACCTTCCTCTCGCGCCTACTTTTCTCTTTTTTCGCCCACCTGAGATGTCAGCTCTCTCCATACACTGCACTCGCTCCTGTCCACGCATTGTACACGCGTGCCGTGCACGCGTACCCGGGGCAGACGTCATCGGACCGATTGGGAATTCTAAAAGTGACGGAATGGAATTCCAAAGCGCATGGTCGCGTTGGAATTCCATTCCGCCGGTGCCTCTCTGAACCCCATGTGCGATGACAGAACTTGAGGAAAGCTCGTGCCTCGAGTCGTCCGGTGCACCACTTTCGATGTTTCTTCAGGATACTCCTGGATTCAACTATCAACCTCTATTTCCTGTTCTCGTTACAGCCAAAGTGATTAATAGGGCATTGCGAATAATGCCTGGGTATTCTGACAAGGAAGGTATCCCAGGTCGATCTCTCCGATTTCATTTCTTTTATAATATGTTATAGTAGACTAAAAACTAAGCGACACGTATTTTTTTTTTATCTGCCATTTACACTTTAAGGGGGTGAAACCACCATCCAAAGTAAGGCATGTCAAGGGGCGATTTGGCAGTTTCACCCACAAGAACGTAATATTTTTTAACCAATCCTCCTGGAAAAGCTTTCTCATAACGAGAAATGAAAAATATAATTTTCTCAATTANTCCCGTATTTTTTTTTATCTGCCATTAAACACTTTAAGGGGGTGAAACCACCATCCAAAGTAAAGCATGTCAAGGGGCGATTTAGCAGTTTCACCCACAAGAACGTAATATTTTTTAACCAATCCTCCTGGAAAAGCTTTCTCATAACGAGAAATGAAAAATATAATTTTCTCAATTAAATGAAAAAAAAAAATTAAGTGGTGAGCCACCCCTCACAGGCCTTACTTTTGATGGTGGTTTCACCCCCTTAAAGTGTTTAATGGCAGATAAAAAAAAAATACGTGTCGCTTAGTTTTTAGTCTACTATAACATATAAAAGATATCAAATCGAGGAAAACGACCTGGGATATCTTCTTTGCGAGTAATGACTAACAAAATTGAACAATGTGATAAACGGCCTACACTAATCTAACCAAACCTAATCGAACTTAAAATATCCTCCAAATCGTTATTCACTCCGGAAATCATAGATTTTAATGCTAGGAATCACGTGGATATCAGCTGGAAATCGCAAGCAGAAATCACCGAAACATTGTCACAATTTTAAGACAGATCGTTCCATGTTATCGAATTATGTTGTTTATCATAGGAAATCAAAGGCTATCGGCTGTCAAAAAACGACATTTTTTTTCATTTATTTCCGAGTGAAAAACCCCTCGTTAACCATAAAAAAGCTGGCTTGCGATTTAACATGGTATTAAATAGTACTTACGTATTCAATTCTCTTATACACGGTTAATTCGTTTCGTATTGTATCAAAACCTTGTACTCAGAGCACCGTGCTCTCTCGAAATCATGTTAAGTGATACTTAGCATATGCATTTAAAAAAGAACAGTGTCATGAAAAGATTCATACTACATGAGGATTGTTTAAGTTTACGCCGTGCTATGTGGAAACTTTGTTATAAGAACATCATGTTACAGGCGGTCTGTCGCAATTTTTGCGTTGTTATATCGAAACCACGTTATAAGAGGCGAGTAAGCTTCCTCAGTACTACAAATTCCACCCACAACAGAGGTGCAAAAGCAAAAAACGTTTTGTACCGAACCCAGAATTAAAACTATTATTTCAGGTACTTTAATTTAATGAAAAATATCGCTCGACAACTGAAAGACTGAATGATATCCATGGTTCGATATGTGGATACCGATTATGGTCTATGTTGGCATTGAAAGGGCTACCGAAGGTCGATTTTGTTAGCCATTATTCAGACTGCTCTATTTATCACTTTACCCATAACATCATTACTTTAATTTCGAGGCTACCCCGAGTGAAGTTCCTGATAAGCGTCGACGAGAACGTTAAATCGCGTCTCTCTCTTCAGATAGGCTCCGATAAAAATGATAAGGACTGCAAAAAAGCAGAAAATTGTACAGAAATTCAGATGTACGGGAAATGATTTCCATGGAATGTATCGACTTGTACTTGTATTTCGCATTGCACTGGTGGAAGTGGCCTAATCGACCGGGAACGCCGGTGGCGGGGAAAATGGCGCTTAGCCGTCCTCAATATTGAGACGACGATCTCGTTTCACTGGCAATTGGATACATGTCACGTGAGATAGCCGCGATAAAACATTCCGCGGTGTATCTAGTGCCTAGGATAGGGGAAAAAAAAAACTGGCGCTTTAAACGGCGCACGCGTGCGCGATCCAATCCAATTGTCATTCCGAAAACGGAACCGCGGCTCTCGGGCCTCTCTTTCGTTCCATCACGTCTATGACCGTGTCCTCTACTTTTTTTGTTACGCCTCTGGATAACTGTATTTTTTTGTTTCACGGTCCCAGTGAGTCCCATTTCCTCGTCGCCGATGACCGCGTCGAGCCAGGCCAGCTGCGACATTTGCTGGCAGGAGTTGCTCGTGCATTGCTAATTTACCTTTCCGATTTTTTTCCTGCCCTATTTTCCTTCAGTTCTTCTCTTTATCCGATGCTTTAGTACAGTTTTCATGCCGAGTACAGTAATTACGGAGAGCGCAAGTCGCTAGTGGCCGAGTAGTTCCCTGAACTCGCGACAGGTGCGCTGCGATCACAATTGCTGGGGATTCTTCGACCACTGTCGATTCTCTATTTTTAACCTTTCCTTCTCATATTTTCATCCGAACCTTAGGTATCATTCTCTTTCCGTTATAATATTCTCTGTTATAATTATAATCCTGACATGGATTGAATGTTGATGATCGAGTAATCTTGTAATTTCGGTCGGAGTCGCTGCGGAAGATACTGTAAAATTCCTAGTTTTTTGTTTTTTTTTTTTCATTTCTTTTTTCTACGGTTACCACTATTTGCATCTATCGGTATGTTTTAGTATTAACCCAACTTGTTACATTTTATTTTTACAATGCATTATTATTTGTATTCCACTTTACGTATCGGTACTGAGACAATAAACGTTTTCCTTGGTGTCAGGACTGTATTCTTTCAGTTATTAACATTTAAAGTGAAATAACAAGAATTATGCTCGAAAGAACCAGTAGGGGTATTTGGTGAAAGAATAAATAATATCTAATCATTCTTCTTAACTTGAAGTTTCACTTCCAACGCGCGTGGCGGCCACGCACCAATTTTTGTATTATTTCTCCTTATTTATGTAACTATATGTACATGTATATATCTATGTATTTATCTGTGGATTTAGCATAGTCTTTGTGATAGTTAATCCAACATAATAGGAATTATAATTGGTCCGTTTCCATTGCAGAAGCCGACACGAACTCGATGTCCGAGAGGACCCTGCACAGCCTGAAGCTGTCCTACGACGAGCCGGAGACATCTTCTTCGGGACCGGCCCCGAACTGTTCTCCGGAGGGCCTGGCAAACGGCGGGGCCAGGGTGGCCTTGGAACTGCAGGAGCAAGGGGCCACCTCGGTCGATCTTGAGGATGGCGAGGAGGCGTCGGGGCTGACCCCGAAGAAGAAGCCGAGCTACCTCGGGCTGGCCTGCAGCGTCAGCGGGTACTCTGGGATCACCAGATACGACAGTAAACTCAGGGAGGGCTTCCGGTCCAGGGACAGCAGTCCCGGGACCAGGCTCGTCGGCAGGGATCCCGTGGGATCGATGGAGAACTCTCGGTTGGTACCACTTAGTGGCTGAAGAGAGGTTCCTCCTCTTCAGTTGATGGCGAACTCTTTTTTACATTCATCCTTTTTTTTTCTTTTGTTTAAATTATTCAAAGAACATTTTCGAGGCAATCTCTGAGGATATGAAGGGAGTCATTAGATTCTTAATTATACTATTAACACGTTTTCTATCACGTGGGGCGCACACGTCCTAAGCTGATCTCCACATTCGGGCCATTTAAAATGATATGAAAGGTGCTGAGAAATTTAATCGACGTCGATAAAATGAAACTCATCTATACGCTTTTCGGCGGGAATGTCATCCCGAATACTTAACCGCGTCACGTTACCAACATTTATATTTATGTTGAAGTCTTTTACAGTCAATGTTAAGAATTATACGAACCGGAGCATTCCATATGTCATTTCGGTAAAGTAACGATAAAGAGAGCGACATAAAACTGTCGAAATCCCGTGAATTCATTATTCTAACGACTGTTTAGGACCAACGTCGCCATCTGTGACGATCAGCTACAACCAAATCTTTGCTCAAAAAATACGCGTTAGCCCCGAGACAAGCCAGCATTCCCTTGCAATCGTTGATAAAAGTATTTTCCATATCTCCAATTCGGAGAATACTTACCGCAACGATTGGACCTCTCAGATGTATACAGGCTGCTCTTTCATATCACCTTAATATTTTTTCGCTCTTATCTAGTGAAATATTTTTATTTCGTAATTTTTCATTTAACCGTGAATGTCATATAAAGGGGGTTGATAGGCTGTGAAGTACGTTTTAATTAGAGGAAGCTTAAAAGAAAATGGAAAGGTATTGTTTCTGAAATACTTACGTAGCTGTTGAACTTGATGGTTTACCGAAAATTTAGGTCAAGTGAAACATCCTCGTATGTAAATATTTTCTGTACCTTTTAGTTTATTTCATAATCTACTAACCTCCTAAAGTGGGCTTACCACAACGTGGGATGCGTACGGCCCACGTGGCATTCATGAAAAGTCATCGAAATTTGGTCTGGCAGGGAACGCGGTGAATCGTGTTGCGCATGTTTAATACGTCATTCTCTCTGACTTTTGGGCGAGGATTTTCTTTGTTATGTAGATTACATTTGTAATTCTAATATTGCGAGAATGTCCGATTAAATAGATGTTCCTCGAATTAATTCATTAAGGCATTAAATTGTGTATTAACTCTCTCTGATCCAACTCGATATTTCCAGGTCCACCGAGAACCTGGACTCCTTGCCGCTACCAAGGTCGTCGAAGAGCCAGGCCATTTCTCCTTTAGCGATGGACCATCGAAACGGCTTCGACGCACACGAGAAGCAAGAGCTAGGGAGGCGCATAGATGGTGATAACTCCATGGACGATCTTCGTCGTGGGTACTGCGAGGTTGACCGAGGCCTATCCTCGTACCAGACATTCTCCGAAGTCAGTCCCATACGAGGATCTTCCCCTCAAAGCCGAAATGCTTCGGAGGATGCTACTTGCGAGCAACGCCGGGCTGGTTTCCTCTCGAGCAGCGTTTCTATGTCAACGCCAAGGCCATTTCGCGCCAATGGTAAAACCCTCGTTGTGCTTACTAATCCTTGTAAAATCCCGGGGGGGAATCTTTTATCGGGATTTAAGGTGAAGGGAAACACGTCGAGGAACTTGATCGGCATCAGTAAAGAAGATTTTTCTAAATACCTACCTTGTTGACGTTGGTTTTTATATTGACAGCTGTGTTGAATTACATTGAGTATTGTATTAAATGGCATACTCCACCTGTCGTTTTCGTACAATAATTATAAAGAAATCGAAGTAAAACTCCAGAAATCTTCTGGATTCATGCTTTCTGGGGCTCTAATTGACTGCAGAGGGGCCCCCTACGCCATCTGTGATTTTCAGGTGAACTAAATTTTCACTCCGGGACCTCGTATTACCGTCGTTTTTGCATAGAAGCGTATAAGACACTTTTTTTGCCTTTATCCCGTTCAATTGCGAATTTCTCGATTACCAGAATGTTCTAAACTGTCGTACAATTGTCCTGACCCTTTCGTTTCTCATATTAGAGCCTTCAGTAATTGTATATCGATCGAAATATGAGAGCCCGACGCCATTTTGGTTTTGGCCTGGGTGCCAGTTAAAAAATTGGTTTCGAAAATCCAAATTTTCAAAGTGTCAGGATAATTCCTAGGTGCTCACGAGTCACGTATCAAAGTTTCAGACGTTTCTGTCCAATACCCTTGAAAAAAAACGTCTTATTTGAATCCACTGATTTGAGGGGGATTTCACTTCAACTTAAAATCTCATAAAGTTCTTGAAGAATGCCTGGTTGAGGTGTAAAGCTGTATAAAATCCTCAATTTAGTTTCTCCTGGTCGATTGCTTGAGCTTGGGGCGACGCTTTCGCCAAGACCATTTTTCGTGTCACTGGCGAGCATTTCACGCCCTGAAAGTCTCGTTAAGGTGAAGTAAAACCCCCTCAAATCCGTCGATCCGAATAAGACACTTTTTTTTTTAAGAGTATTGAACCGAACCGTCTGAAACTTTGACGCATGACTCGTGAGCACCAAGGAATTACCCTGACACTTTCAAAATTGGAATGTTCGGAAAAAAATGACTTACCTTAGCCTCGATCAGAACCAAAATGGCGTCGAGTTCTCATACTTCGATCGATATACAATTATTGAAGGTTCTAATATGAGAGACGAAAGTGTCAGGACAATTGTACGACAATTTAGAACACTCTGGTAATCGAGGAACTCGCATTTGCACGGAATAAAAGCAAAAAAGTGTCTTACGTGCTGCTATGCTAAAACGATAGGAATACGAGGTGTTGAAGTGAAAATTTAGCTGACACGGAAATCACAGATGGCGCAGGGAGTCTGCAGTCAATTAGGGCCTCGGAGACCATGAATTCAGGGGATTTCTGGAGTTTTACTTCGATTTCTTTATAATTATTGTACGAAAACGACAGATGGAGTATGCCATTTAGTACAATACCCAATATAATTCGACACAGCTGTCAATATAAAAACCAACGTCAACAAAGTAGATATTTAGAAAAATCTTCACCGCCGTCGATCAAGTTCCTCTATATGTTTACTTCACCTTAAATCTCGTCAAGTTGTGGTTGTAGGCCTTGCAAAATCCCCGGGGAACTTTTCGATTTAAAGTATAACGTAAATGGTATATCGTAAATCTGGATTATTATTGTTTTTTAGCGTCCGATGTTTCCTTTGGGGAGAGTAGCATGTTAAATGGATCCACAACGGAGATTAGTCACCAGGTTGTGAACACCAGCGAGAAGTCCTTCATCCAACAACGCGTCGAGAGACTTTATGGACCCGGTGCGCTCGCTCAGGGATTCTTCTTCAAGCGCAGCCCTTCGAGGTCGACCATGAACGAACGCAGCATGGACAAATCCTCGGGAAGTTGCGTGAATATTAGTATCAGCAGGACTCGTGTAGAAGACAGCCACGAAAGCGAGGACATAACGAACGGGGTCAGCGATCAGTCCCTGAAAAGTCTGCCGGTTTTGAGGCATCTGAGACCGGAGTTTCGAGCTCAACTTCCAGTCATCAACACCAGGAGGTCGGTCAAAAACGCAAAATCAATGTTTCGATTGCGTCTCAGTTAATGTTTCGTCTACAAATTAATTCAAAATAATAATTTCAAGAAGTTTTCCTCTTCACTATCCGAAGATCCTTCTATCTTTCCACTTTCAATGGAAACTCACTCTCATCTTCACCTTACACTCTCTGCAACGAAGCAAATATATATGAATTGTTTATGAAATTAGCTAGTCCGTCAATTTGACGGGTTTCGTAGAGACAGGTATACTACATACAGATTTTAATAATTAGAAGGCTTAGGAAAAAATAATTGTGTGTACAAATTCTTTGGATGAAATGATTAATTTACGATACAAAAATGGTTAAAATTAATCCTATGGTTTTTTCGGTATTTCTTTTCGAAGTTTGAATTCCGTCAAATTGACGGGTCCCGTAAACCTAGTGTTAATTTGGATTCTTCTACTTCTTCCACAGAATATCCCAGTGCTCACCTCGAATAAACTTAGAGGACAAGGATTCGAGATCCTCCGTAGCGGGAGAAAAGTCCAGAGAACCTGAAAAAATTGAAATACGCAAGGTAGAGACCGTGAGTAGCATGACAATAGTCCCTGACCATCAGCCAGCTGCTCCGGAAGTGGTGTTACCGGTGGCTGTAAGTGGTAAGAACTCGGCGTCCATTTTGGCGCATCCTGAAGAGGCCCCCGCGAGTGTGCAGGGCTTGATAACGACGGCGGCAACGATAACTCAAGAGGCAGCCACGACAGAAGCCACGAAGGATGGGCATTATTATATCAAGGTTATTAGACTGATCAAGTTGCATCTTAAAAGATAATATATTTTCTTTATCGGGTAATAGGGGTAAACCGAAATAATTAGTCGAAAAGCGTATTTATTCTGGAGAACTTCTTTTAAGCGAACAATATGATGTAACTATTTTCTATCTTATTACACATGAATTACAACTGCAGAGGAACGTATACAAAAATGTTCAGTTAATTTAATGGTGTTTAGGATGGTGTACATGACTTCGAAGTGGACGCCTCGAACAAGAAATGATTGTAGCGTTGGCAGGAAATCATTATCCTCCGTTTGAAACGAAAAAAAAAGACAAAAATATTTAGAAACTCCATATTAATAGCCGTTGCAGTACGTAGGAGAATTTAAAATGTTAATAAATCTCTCTGCGTACTGTAATAGCCGGTGATATGTAGTTTCTAAATATTTTTTACCCTTTTTTGTTTCTGACGAAGTGCCCAGCCAATTTGCTGTCGACACTGCAATAATTATTGTACACCAATCCAAATACTATTAAATGAATTGGATATTCGTTTATATGTCCGTCAATAGTGTAGTTGATGTTTAGTGAAACAAAAAAATAGTTATATCACTTTGTGTTTTAAAAAAAATTGCAGATACCTACGTTTTTGGACTCCGGTTCCATAGCCCTGAAATGGGGAAGAGTGAAAATGATTATTATATTATAAATACCATCATGAACTTGGAATATTGTTGTACCATAGTTACTCAAAGAGCAGACCTCGAGGTTGCTCTCTCTCGCCTCCAAGGCCGAGGCGGAATTAGCGGACAGCGACCCTGCTGTACTTCCTGAAGAAGCGGCCGGCAAGCTGAGATGCGCAGCGGGTAAAGCGAGGCTCCTAGCTAGTCAAAAGATGCAACAATTCGAGGGGCTCTGCCAGAAAAATATTGTAAGTAATGGGCACGAGTTGTCTTAATTCATTTATATATAATTATCTTAAGAGATAATGTCCAGTTGTCATAGGCGAAATTCAAGAATTTTTCTTCATAACTAAAACGCATTTTTTTTAATGGAAAACAGAGCGTGATTCCATAGTACAATTATTGAACTTAATACATCTTTTTTTTTTGTCAAGATATATTTAAAAAATTGAGAGGTACAGCAATTATCCGAAAGTTGTTGTTGTTTTTTTTTGCGGTGACCACGATATCTCAAAAAGTATTTCACCGATCGACTTCAAATTTTTAAGGCCCATTTTATACGCTGATTGAACGAAGGATTTTTCGAAATTCCCGATTTTTACTAAAGTGGCAGGGGTTTTACTGAAAAATCAATTTTTTCGTCTTATAGCATTTTCATTTTTCCTCAATAAAACAGCAAGTGTTCATAGAAAAAAGGAATCCTTCGTTCATTCAGCAGTCCTCCATGTGTAGAATGAGCCCTACAAATTTGAAGCCGATCGGTGAAATACTTTTTGAGATATCGTGGACACCGCAAAAAAAAGGAACTTTTTCGGAGAATTCCAGTACCTCGCCATTTTTTTAAATATATCTTGACAAAAAAAATGATGTATTAAGTTCAGTAATTGTACTATGAAATCACGCTCTGTTTTCGATGAAAAGATGCATTTCAGTTATGAAAAAAAAATTCTTGAATTTCCCCTACGACAACTGGATATATGGACCCCCTAAATTATTTCCCATTAATTATGAATTAAAAATCTCGTAATGACAGTCCTATCTTCCTTTACTTGAAGAATCAAGTTCCGGGCGAAGAGTTCCCCACGACGAACGAAGACCTCGCAGGGTTCTGGGACATGGTGATGCTGCAGGTCGTCCAGGTCAATCAGCTGTTCGAACAGATCGAGACCTTGAGAAGCCGCCAGTGGCAAGAGGTACGTGAGGACCCGAAGAATCCCCTGAATTCCTCGACCATGAAGAAACCTTCCCGTCCAATGGAAAAGAAATCCGCCATGACCGTCACTGAACCCATCTCGATTGTCCTCCCCTTCCCTACTATTAATATCGCCATCACTAGCAAAAATATATCTTCCTCGTTGATCTACAACAAACGCAGCGCACCTGAAGAAGAAAATAAAGGATTCTCCTCTGTAAATGAAGAATACCTCATGCGCGGAGTGGAATATTCTAATGCTCCTGTAAATGAAGCGGAACGTCTCAATGCCGTGACAGATTCTTCTCTCAGAGCATTGAGTCGTGAAACTAAGATATCCGAATACCCTGAAGAGGAAGGCGAATTAGAAAATGGTGAGAGTGCGATGACAGCGTTCAAGCGAGGAAATGACCTAGTAAATGAAAAGTTAGGTTCATATACTAAAACGCCCACTAGCGGTGAATCGGAGAAATATTTAGAGATTGGTTTACCGACAACTTCTGGTTTATCTAGAAATAATTCAAACTCTAGACATTCCAATGTATGTGTCGCATACGACGAAGTGTGCAGTACCTTGATGACAAAGAAAACTGACGTTCAACGAGCTGCAACCCTTGCGGAGTTTTATCCTGGACAAGAATTACAGAAAAAGCCGCCCTTGAAATCGAACACCTTCACTTCTCTAAGATCAGCCACCAAGCCTGCTATTTCAACTCCGGGAGCGAAAAAATGCCGACATAGCGTTACATTTTCCGACGAAGTCGTCAGATGCGGAGAAAAGTTCTCTTCTATTACCGGTATGGCTCCGGTGTATTCAAAGTCAAGAGGCTCTTTAGCATTACAGAGTAGCGTGGATATCGACGGTAACAGTGTCTCTGATAATGGCACGGATACTGGTTCGCGAGGAGGCAGTGGTGCCTCGATTCCTTTAAAAAAAACACCCTCGAGAACCCATCTAAAGAATTCTGACCTTGAAGATACCTCCTCTCAGTTAAAAATGTCAGCTATTAAATTTCCAGTAAAACGTCCTCGACAGGGAATTCTAATCGAGCGAGACTCCTCACCATTGTCGCGAGTAACTCCAAGAAGTCGTTGGCAGAAAAGGAAGCCGACGTCGAATTTCGGATCTCCTTGGTCTTCGAGATCTTCTGCGTCTTCAGGATTCTCAAGGTCTTCGAGAACTGGAACCTCGGATGCCCTGAGACCATCGGATCCTGCGTGGGTACATCAAATTCGGCCTCGGGATAGAGAAGTTTCTAAGAACCTGAACCAACTTCAGAAGTCTAAGGTGGCTCCGCTCTTCAAGATCCTTCCTAAAAGCTCCAGAAAGGAAGCGAATGTGCAGGACACCGTTTCTAATTTTTTCTACAAAAAGAAGAGATTAACGGTGTACATTTTCAACGGTTTGCCGGCATCCGGAAAACGCAGAGAGTGTTTTGGTCCGCCAGGTCCCTTGGAGAACGGTCGAGATTTGCTCAGGATCAATATCCTCAAGAAGGACTTCGGGTCTGGTGGAGGCTCCCCACCTGGACCAACCAAGGTACCAGCACTTCCTGCGCCGCTTTTGCAACGTCCTTTGCAAGTTAATACAACTTCTTGTAGTAGAAGTGGATCTTTTGTGTCGGAATTGATCTTGAAGAGTCCTTCGTTACGGAATAAAATGGTCTCCGAGGCCACTCAAGCTGCAAGAAACACCAAGGATGCCTCTATTCAGTCTTCCTCGATTAGTTTCAAGAGTAATCTGCATGTTTTTAAGAGACTTACTACTTTTACCGATGCCTGGTCTAACCTGGACTCCCCTGGGCGAAATGCTGCCGAAGAAGAGGATGCTGAAAATGCAATTAGAAGCTGTTGCGTCGCTAAAGGAAGGCAAGATAGGATTTCTAATCATTCTGGCGGGTTGTCTTTTTCTCAAGATCCTGACAAACATTTCCTGGATCTTCGACGTCGGCTTCGGCACCGCCGCCAGGAAAAGATTTCAACCACGAGTGCAAAGTGCATCGGAAATGCTGAAGAGACCTCTAGAAACTGCAACGCTAAAGGAAGACAAAACGAGACTTCTAACATTGCTGGTGGGTTGACTTTTCTTCAAAGTCCTGACAAAGGTCTATTGGATCAAGGATGCCGACATCGGCAACATCGCCAGGAAGAGGTTTCGGCACTAAAAGCTAAGTCTGTTAAAGATGCTGAAGAGTTTACCAGAAATTGTGTTGCTAAAGGAATAAGAGACAAGATTTCTGTTAACGCTGATGAAGTGATTCAGGGACGCGACAAAAGTCATACGGATCTTCCACATCGTCAACGTCGTCAAGAAGAGGCTTTGACCTTGAATTCCAAGTCCAGCAAAAAGGCCGAAAAGATGAAAAGGTCAAAAAATGACGGGAATTTCGGCAAAGAAGCAAAGAAAAGTCGATCGCGAAGTCTCGAATGCGAATCCAGGAAGAATTTAGGAAACGATAGCATTCCTGAAGAGCTTTCACGTCCTTGGAAAAGTCCACTGCGCAGGAAGAAGATGATCTCTAAATCTAACACTCGAGAGAGAACCTTGGAGCGACCTCAGGAAATGACTAATATCAATTCAATGAAGAATATCGGAAAGATCGATAGGAAAGATCTCTCGTTGAGAAAAAGTACAAGCCAGGAAGATTGTATAAATATTATAAATAACGTGGAGATAATTAACAAAGCAGAATTTAAGTCTGTCCAAAGATATGACCCGAAGAAAGAAATTCAAGACTCCAAAAGGCGAACCGAGCATCTCAAGATTCCTCTTCAGGACCCTCTTCAAGATAGCAGAAATTCGACTAAAAAGCCGATTTCGGAGCCGATCCCTAAACCTTTAAGGAATACTGAAGAGCCTAGAAACAATAAATGCGCTCTGGAAGGCGATCAACTGTTTAAAAATGTCGAAAAATCCCAGAATACGCTAAACAATTGGAAAACTCTGTCTTTCGGATATCGTCGACTATCGGTGACTGGGTGCACTGTTTGGAGCCTTTTGGATTGTTCGGTTCCCGAAGTGGACCACCGAAAATCTGGGAGAAACTTAATAAGCTTTGACGCCTCCTTGAATTTTGGAAAAGATAGGCTGGCAGAGAGGGTCAGTATTTCTGAAATTGTCGAGGACTCCGAGACGAGTCTGCCTGCTCTGAAAATTAAACGGGCGTGCTCTTTCCTGAAGAACAACAGGATCCTTTGTCGTTTGTCCTTGTACTTGTATCTGTATGGTGCGATCAGTCTGATTTTGATGTTACTCAAACTCGGGCCTTGTCATCGCCCTCGAATTGGTCCCCACGCACAATACGACTTGCGACACGCGTGATTGTCTATTGCCTTGATTTACGTCATGTCATTGTCATGTCGTAACTCCGCGTACGTGGTCAATGAGGCGGAGAAGAAAAAGTGGGACAGAAAGCAGCAGACACGGAAAAGAGCATATTGAGTATGAAGAAAAGATTTCAGAGTCTGAAACTATAAGGAAAAGTACATTGAGAAACTTTATTAAGGCTTCCATGCAATTGGCAAATTTTATGCAAGAGCATATTACATATAAAGAAAAGATTTCAGAGTCAGAAACTATAAGGAAAATTACATTGAAAAACTTTATTAAGGCATCCATGCAATTGGGAAATTTTATGCAAGAGCATACTGCGTATAAAGAAAAGATATCTGAGTCAGCAACTATAAGGAAAATTACATTAAGTATTTTTTTAAGGCTTCCATGCAATTGGAAAGCGTATTGAGTGTGAAGAAAAGATTTCGGAGTCAGAAACTATAAGGAAAATTACATTGAGAAACTTTATTAAGGCTTCCATGCAATTGGCAAATTTTATGCAAGAGCATATTGCATATAAAGAAAAGATTTCAGAGTCAGAAACTATAAGGAAAATTACATTGTCATTTTTTAAGGCTTCCATGCAATTGGCAAATTTTATGTTCGAAGAGGACAGGAAGAATACGAAGGGATTTTCATGATTCTTTAATAAAGTCCTTTGAAATACTTTCAAGAATAAAAAAAAAAGCCAAAGAAAAGCTTTGAAAAATATTATTTGTAGATGGTGTTTCATTGATCTTCATGCATATCATTCCTAATGACTATTAGCAAGTCTTTTCACAAATCACCTAATTACTTCTCCGCTTTCTCCAACATCCTGCTTCTGTCAATACATTCACCTGAAAAAATCAGGTATCGACTGTAGTTTAGCGAAGATTAAAAACGAACTTGCGTGCACAGAAATGAAGTACATCTTCTTGAAAGTATAATTTTTTCAAATAAACTGCTTCCATGACTTTCCAGGAAGGTCAACGCATAAAATCAGCTCTTCAAGATCATTCCGAAATTATCGATAATCTGTTAAAAAATCGAAATCAAACTCTCCTAGTATACGTGTGAATATTTCTTACACTTTTATAAGATACGTCCTCCACAAATGTCCTTATCAGCCCACTTCCAAATTAAAAAAAAAATGTATCCCAGAGTATTATCCTGGCACATATTAAACATTTATTTCTGTAATATATTGATACATTAAGGTGAAGTGAAACCCTCCTCAAATCAGCCGATTCGAGTAAGACACTTTTTTTTAAGGGTATTGGATTGAGCTGTCTAAAACATTGACACATGACTCGTGAGCACGTAGGAATTATCCTGACACTTTGAGAATTTGGATTTTCGAAAAAATTCTTTAACTTAGCCCAGACAAAAAACCAAATGGTGTAGAGCTCTCATATTTCGATCAATATACAATTATTGAGGGCTCTCATATGAGAAACGAAAGGCTTAGAACAATCTTACGACAATTTAGAACACTCTGGTAATCGAGAAACTTACATTTGAACGGGATAAAGGCAAAAAAAAGTGTCTTACGTGCTGCTACGCTAAAACGATGGTAATATGAGATCACGGAGTGAAAATTTAGTTCACCCGGAAATCACAGATGGCGCACGGGATTCCTCTGAAGTGAATTAGGGCCTCGGAAACCATGAATTCAGAGGATTTCTGGAGTTTTACTTCGATTTCTTTATAATTATTGTACGAAAACGACAGATGTAGTATGCCATTTAGTACAATGTTCAATGTAATTCGCCACAGATGTCGATATAAAAACCAACGTCGGCAACGTAGGTATTTAAAAAAAACAAAAAACCTTTACCGACGTCGATCAAGTTCCTCGCCGTGTTTAACTTCACCTTAAACATTTATTCATCACCCCGCATAATTAACAATTCTGCATTAATTCACAGGTCGGCTTAGCCGAGGGAGAGGTAACCCCGAGTTCAGCTCAGAACGGCCACGCAACAAAACGCAGGACGACCTCATCTCGTAGCGTAAAACCTAGACAAGTAGCAAATACCGAAGCAAGTCGCAAAGCTCGCGAAGCCAGAGAGCAAGCTCGTCGGCAAATGATCGAAGAACGTCGACGAGCGATCAAATCATCGGCACCAAAGGACCCTGAAGCCTCCGTGGCGATTTTTGCCCCGAAGACGTAGCGAACCTCTGCTCTTCAGGGTCGCCCTGTCCCTCATAATCTCGGAATCGTTCCTGGCTTTTCAGCGACGAATACAGAGGAGCGACCAGCTTCGCCTGGTGGGCATTCAATGTCAAAGATTGCTGGTCACTGCCATGCAATGTCGGAGCCGGCTGTCCGACGACTTCAGGATCAGCTGATCGTTGTCCGAGGCCATGGTCAAGGCCGAAAAGGATTGGACTCAGAAGAGGATGATAGTTGCTAGCGGAATCCGCTGATCGGGCTTTATTTGAGTCGCTGAATCGTTGCTATTTGACTTTAGAATTAGCTGGTTACTTTGGTTAGCGTTTTAAGGATCGCTGATAAACGTTGCTGGGATCAGATGTTGAGGTAGATGGTCGGTGTTAAAGTTAGTTGTTCGGTTTTGAATAGACAAGGTGATCCCGGATGTCCGGATGTGTTATTCCGTTGCGTTTGGATTGGATGCTTTTTAATTGTTTATTATGGGAAAGATAAAATTGAATTGCTAGAAATGTTTACGAGGAGGGTCAGAATCAGTGGCAACTGGTGTTTCTTAGAAGTAAAACCGTGGAAAAGGTTTTTAATCGTCGGCGGCAGCGACATAAGGTTTTAGGATTTTAATCAAAATAAGGATTGGTAGCACCGGATTGGATCCAGAGCAACGATAGGTTTATTAACGCCTGGGTTCACAGCGATCGTTAATAGGATCAAATGTAATTATTATTCTCATCCTCGTCCGGATTCAGCAACGATTACCATTTCCATCATCACCAGGATCCATAACAGTAAAGAGAATTATCATCGTCAGAATCAGGAAACGAACAGAATTTCTATCATCAGGAATGACAACAATGACGACTGCTTTCATCGTCCCCAGGATCTGAAGCAATCGATACGATCTTCATCATCAGGATGTACAGCAACGAACGCAATTTTTATCATCAAATGTGATTTCCATCGTCTTCGGAATCCACAATTGATGCTACTTTTATCGTCAGGATCCATGTCAAAGAATACAACATTTATCCACAACAGGAAATACAATCTCCATCGTTCCTAGGATCCACAACGAACATCACTAGAGTCCACAGCAATAATCATCTTCACCAGAGTTTGGCAGCGACAACCGCGACTCGATCGCTGCCAATCTCATTGTTGGAACCGATCTCCAACTCGTCGCTTATCCCTACCGATAACTCGCAGCCTGTAATTCGTAAAAACGACAGAATCTAGACTGCGTATTCGCGCGTCGTAAATAGCGCGATAACTACCGAGGGCCCCGAATCTCCAAATTGCGCCGCCCCGAAGAGTGGCGTCGCGCCGATCGGTCAATTTGCGCGATTGGCTGTTATAGATTGCCTTTAATCTCGCGGAACGTCCCGCAAATCGCTGATATATAAATATATATTATACAATATTATACGGCCTCGAAAATGGCAGAAAGAAAGAGATAGAGAGAGAGAGCCGCCTCGACGAAATTCCTCCCTCGACGTCGCTCGCCTTTGTAGTAATTTTATTTCGTTAATCCGAACTCTTGAAATTTATTGTTAAGACGTTTACATATTATACGCCGTGTGAAAGGATGTATGTATCTTTATTAAAACACCTACGTGTGCCTGTCTCTACGCTATTTCACGGAGGCGGAAGATCGTTCCCCCTTTTCAATTTCTACACTCGATGTTGCGTCGCTCTCTGTTGTCTCCGTGGCATTCGTCTCTTATCTTTTTTCATGTGTTATTTTTTATTGAAACAGGACGACGTCGATCGATCGACTTCATTTTACGATGTGATTGTAAAGCCGTGTGCGACATTGACCGAGATCGTGGTCGCGAGTTCTGGCGAATTTCGAGCGTACATTTTTTACACTTGTTTCCCTCGTCGAGCGTATTTTGAGACTTTTGTCACCTCGAGGACGTTTTAATGGATAAGAAGAACAAGTCGCACCCTCCCGCTACCGCGAGGAATGTTCCTGTCACGCCTGCAGGTTGATTACTAATTCTCACTGTGATTGACGGAAATTCATTTGGTAGTGCTCGTGATTGATCATTTGTTTATATAACTCGGAGACTACTCGCTAAGTGTATCGTTCGATTAAAAAGTTTCGTTCCCTGAATCTATGGCGGATTGATTTCGGTGCGTTCCCGGTTAATCCAAGTTCCTGCGATTTAGTTCCTCTTTTCTCCGCAGAGTCGCGGCTATCAGCGGCGTTTTCTGCGGATCTCGCGGAGATCTCCAGAATTTGCGAATTTCGACCTCTGCCGATGCTTATGGTGAATACGCGGGGAATAAAAATTATATTATTTTAACACTTTGGTAAATGTTAACGCGTATTCTGTCCTTCAGGTCGCGGAATGTTCTTCTGGCGATGGTTTTGCTCTGCATACGAATTCCTTGAATTACGAAACGATTAAATTGCAGGAGGAGGATACGGAAGAACTGGAATTAACCGATCGGTTAAAGTAAATTACTCATACATTTATCTTTTTAATCAAATAAGGCGATCTCAGGTGCATATTTTCTTATTATTTACTAAGTTAACGGGTATTTTTATTAAGACCAGAAGATGAACCACCGGTCACTATGCGGATTCTTTTCGAAAATGTTAAGAAACTTGAGAAACCTTGGAGATTGGAGAGCAACGGCAAGTGAATAATTTATTTAATGACGAACTCTTAAGTAACAAATTATCCATTTTTCTTTCGCTTACGCCATTTTTATTTGTTATCGGCATTATCTATACACCTTTAACAGGAAATTCATGGACGATTTTTGCGCTAGATGCCCTGGATTTAATTGTCTCCAAGTATAGCACGATTACACAGCTGAGGTAATGAAATTCCTATTAATCTCTCGAATAATCATGAAGCGTCGACAAATTATTGAAACCGAAGGTTCCTTACACATAGATGTTTCTAGCTTAAAGAATTGCCAGATAAACGCGTACGGAATTGTTCAGATTTCTGAGATCCTGAAACGTTATCGATGCCTGAAAGACCTAATTTTGGACATGAATCCAAACTCTAGTAGGAATTACTATTTGCTGTGCTCACCTGAAGGGAAGTAGGTAAATTATTGTAATAAAAAATATATATATACATCTTCATCTACGACTTACCCCGACTACCCACTGAACACCAAACCTAACGATTAATAATAATATAAAAAATATAAAAAAATAAAAAGATAACTTAAAAACTAACAAATAACATAACGTTTGTTACAATGTAATAACCTAACAGTTATGTAACATGGAGCTAACAGGTTACATAACATTTTTTATCATATCTACATAAATGTAGCGTAACTTTGTTACTCTTATCTTACATTGTGTTACTGTCCTGATATTACTGCGTATATGCAGCACATATTAGTAACAAAACAGAATTACATTGGTGCTAATTATCATCTACTTTATTACATCATCGTCATCGTCATTGTCATAATTCATCGTCGAATGTAATAAGATTAATACATGTCATATTTTCTTTACTACTCGTATGGAAAAATGTGATTTTACTTCATACGCGCATACACATTATCAGTAATTGTTTGCAAGTCGAATGAAATCATAGTCTTTAAATAAAATCAGATAGTTTATCATTCACGTAATTTCATTTAAAGTCTGGTTTATTATATAATACCTAACTATTGCCAAGTGGCACAAAATAATATAAAAAGAAAAAATTGTATAATTTTTTATAAAATTGCTTTATTTTTCTTTATTAAATGTTTGAAAAATTAATATTATTTGCTGGTAACTTAACTTATAACATTGATATAAAATGTTACATTACGTATTATCTTATTGAGTGGGAAATAATAACAAAGATCTAACTCCTATGTTACTGTTATGGTATATGGTAATACATAACACGTTAGCTGCGAAAACGTAACATTTACCTAACAGGGTTCTGTGGGTAGATTACAGCACTTATCCCTGAAACTTTGCGAGATAGCTGATAAAGGTGTTGAAAAAATATCAAGGGAATTGGAATATGCAAAGAACGCGGATTGTTCAACTATTGTGTCCTTGGATCTTTCCAATAATGGAATCACGGAAATTGGAGCTCAGTATATCGGAGCAATGCTACGCACGAATAGGTGTGTAGATAGAAAATAATGTGAATAATTGCAAATAGATCAAGGATTTAATACTATTTTTGTGTATTCTATTTTAATAAATATTGAGGGCTTTACAGGTCATTGCGAAGTCTGGTCTTAACTGGAAATAGAATTCGCGACCTAGGAGCTGAGGCCATTATTCGTGAGCTTTGCATGTGAGTACGGAAGATCTAATCGAAGCTAGATCAATCGGACATCCTCGATTTAGAACCTCCTTGACCCGCCGGAGGATCCTGAAATCTCGATAAAGACATTTTTTTTTCTCAAAGCAAGACCACAGAATTAAGGTGAAGTGAAACACATAGGAGAACTTGATCGACGTCGATAAAGAAGATTTTGCTAAGCACCTACGTTGTTGACGTTCGTTTTTATATTGACAGCTGGGTCAAATTATATTGGATCTCGTTTTTCTTGTGAAAAATGAAATTTTACGAGTATCACGTAATTCCGTAGAGCTTTCGTAATCACGTGTCAAAGTTTCAAATGATTGGGTGCACCCAGTTTGATGAAAAGTTTTATAAATATTTTGACGTTCAATATATAGAATGACCCTTTCGTATCACCTTAATTGACGAAAGGCTGGAAATGACTGAGAGAAGAGAGAATCGGAATGTCCATTTCAGGTCCACCTTGACTCATCGAGAAGTAGTCGAGCTTCGGCGAGAAAAATTAGCGTTTCTTAGAAGCCCAAAAAGTGAAGATTCGTCGGAAAAGAAAGAAATCTTGGACTCACTCGAAGACGAGGAAAAGAAGAGTCTTGAAACAATCGACACAGGTAATCTAATTAAAATGATATATAAGTATCACATAAGTGCGAAGAAATAAAAATAGTTGTTTAAACGAAACAGTCTATTTGTCCTATGTTTGATTTTGGTTTCAGATGGTCATGCCGGAAGTCGGACATCTTCAAAACCTGATTTCCCCTCAGCGCAAAATGGTCTTAAAACCAACATGGAATCTAAAAATTCATCAACATTGCATCCTGTAGGTAAAGAGAGCAGGCGAATTAAAGGAGCAATTATGTGCACAGGGAACTTCGAAATACGCCATTTAAACCTAAGTTGTACGTACAAATATTTACGTTTAGGTGCAAAAAGTTGCTACTTTTGTATAAACAGGACGCTCATTTAATAGCATCTCTTACGTTTCGTATTAAATACAGTTAATCAGTTATCAAAGAAATCGCTGGAAAGGATATTGAGCTGCATCCATTACCAGGATTTTATGCTGTTGAAGGATTCCAGTAGAGGTCTTGTTTACCTTGACTTACGGGTAATGGACTATTTCCACGAGTGGTTCAGAATTTAGAACAAATTGCTATTGTGCTGTACGTAGATTATTTTCCTATTTAAGGGTAATCATTTGGAGAACGAAAGTAACGAGTCCTGGGTACGTCTGGAGGAACTCCTGCACGCACGTCGTCATCACGAAGAATCGATTTCCAGTGATCTTGAAGAGTTTCGTTCCTCGAAGCTTCTGCCGATCGAGAGCAAGATTTTGCGTAGCAAAATTGCTAATACTTCCGAAGCAGCAGTCTCCGAAAAAATATAACGAAATTTATATATATATATATTTCATTGAAACACATTACTACTTCAGGGGAAACAAGTTGCTCCTTTATTGATGTACCTCTGATATCTTATGTTGAAAGTAATTAATCAGTTTTCGATAAAGTCACTACAAATAAATTGCTCTGCATTCGTTATCAGAATTTAACATGAAGTGAAACATGTAGAGGAACTTGATCGACGTCGGTAAGAAAGGCTTTTCTAAATATCTTGCCGACGTTGGTTTTTATATTAACAGCTGTTTTTAATTATATTGGATATTGTATTAAATGGCATACTCCATCTGACGTTTTCGTACAATAATTATAAAGAAATCGAAGTAAAACTCAAGAAATCCCCTGGATTCATGGTTTCTGAGGCCCTAATTGACTGCAGAGGGATCCCATGCGCCATCTGTGATTTCCGGGTTAACTAAATTTTCACTCCGAGACCTCGTGTTACCATCGTTTTAGCGTAAGACACTTTTTTTACCTTTATCGCGTTCAAATGCGAGTTTCTCGATTACCAGAGTGTTCTAAATTATCGTACAATTGTCCTAACCCTTTCGTTTCTCATATTAGAGCCCTCAATAATTATATATTGATCGAAATATGAGAGCTCTACGCCATTTTGGTTTTTTGTCGGGGTTAAGTTAAAGAATTTTTTTCGAAAATCCAAATTCTCAAAGTGTCAGGATAATTCCTACGTGCTCACCAGTCATGTGTCAATGTTTTAGACAGCTCGATCCAATACCCTTAAAAAAAAGAGTTTTATTCGAATCGACCGATTTCAGGGGGGTTTCACTTCTCCTTAATGCTCTTGAAGGATTTCAGTATAGCTCTTCTTGTGTGCCTTGACTTCAGGGTAACAGACTATTTTCAGGAGTGGTTCTGAATTTAGAACAAATTGCTAATGTGCTGTATTCAGATTATTTTCCTATCTTAAGGTAAAATGTGAAGTTCGAAAATAAAACTTGCCTGGAGGAACTCCTCCACGCATATCGTTATCGCGAGAAATTAATTTCCAATGATCTTGAAGAATTTAGTTCCTTGAAACTCTTGCCAAACTAGAACATGATTTTACGCGGCAAAATTGCGGAGTGAGACTTCGCTAAATATAAAAATTATGATAAATTAGAATTACACTGAAACGTTTTAATTAAATTATTTCTTCCTTCGAGTTATAGGGATAAACTAACCGATTGTATTTTATCAAGCAAATTGGAAGCATCGATTTCGGTACCAAGAGCAAATATTTCCATTACTTTTGCAATAATAAATAACCATATTTAGTATTATAGTTTCGTTATAGTATAGTAGTCATAGTTTCCATATTTTCGACATGCGCCAGCGCATTCTAAGTACGCTTATGAGGAGCTCCATTGACATGTGTCAAATGTTTATGAATTTGTGACATCTCTCGAGTGACGAGTTAGGAGTTACCGCAGAACAAATTCGGAAGTATCGTTCAATATTCCAGTAATTTTTTTCACGTAATTTCGGATTACCATTGTCGGCGCTAAAAGTACTCTCAAACCCTTGGCTAAGAAAAGTTCTTGAAACGTTTTCTAATTTCGATGTCAAATTGTCGATATTCTGTATAACCCATTTTGAGTCAGTTCCGATGGTAAGTCCCATCAGTTTTATCCTTGAAATGTGTATTTTGAAGTCGTATTCGTTTTACAACGAATTTTGAACGAACAAAATCTTCGAAGGAAAAACTACAACTACACTTTCTAATGAAAGAAATTTTTCATGAATTCTATGCTAATGTTAGAAAATCGTGAGGAACTGATCTACCTTTTTTTACTGGATATACTTTAAAAGACTAATCTACAAACCTTTTTGAAACACCTTACATCAGTTAAATGTAGAAATTAAATTCATATAAATGTCGCTCCGAGGATTCTGACTGGCATTTATATGAATTTAATTTTTACGTTTAATCTATTATCTGAAACCTTTTTAGAAATTAAATTCATATAAATGTCGCTCCGAGGATTCTGACTGGCATTTATATGAATTTAATTTTTACGTTTGATCTATTATCTGAAACCTTTTTGAGACACCTTACATCAGCTTAATATAGAAATTAAATTAATATAAATGCCGGTCCGAGGATTCCGACTGGTATTTATATGAATTTAATTTTTACATTTAATCTATTATCTGAAATCTTTTTGAGACACCTTACATGAGCTTAATATACAAAATTAAATGAATATAAATGCCGGTCCAAGGATTCTGATAACAGAGCCCACCACGAGGGAATTCAAGGCCATTCAGCCGCAATCCTTTAACCTATTTCTTGTTTCCGGCGTTAAAGCTAGACCTTAAAGTCAATTCTAAGGATAATGCGTCCTTCGAGCGAGTCCACGAGGGTGTAAATCTTGACTTTGAGGGGTGCCTGGTACCGAGAACCTCTTTATGCAAGGCTCAACGTAATCGCGAACTTATCCCTGAACTTATCTCTGATAAGCAGTACCGTACAACTTTACAAATCCATGTAATCCTACATAAACCTATATAAACCAATGTTCCGAAGACAAGAGTCCTTATTGAGCCACTTGAAGGTCGCTTGGCCGCGATCCTGATCCATTTTTTTCGATTTTCGTGATAAAGTCAGACCTTAAGGTGATATGAAAGTGGCGTCAAAGAATTCTCGTTCATGAAGCTTTTCTCCAAACTGGGTGTACTGAATCGATTCAAACTTTACACTTACTATATNAAAATAAAATTTCTGTGCAACACGGGCCTTTTTATTTTCTAAAATTCCGTGCCTCAAAGGGTTAAACGATAATCATTATGGATTAATTCACATGAATCTATGAAAAGCAAATGTATGAATACATACTATGTTATGTAAACGTCTATGAACCCTTGTAAAAGCATGTTCCGAAAGCAAGAGACCACCGAGCGTTTTCAGGGTTGCTCGACCTCAATTCTATGACCCATTTCTATAGGTTTCGGTGTTAACGTCCAATCATAAAATCAATTCTAAGGATAACGCGTCCTTCGAACAGCTCATAAGGGTGTAAATCTTTATTTAGGGGTACACCGATGGCTCTAACACCAAGTATTCCTTTTTCTACGAGATCATCCATTCTGCTCCATTTCTCGGTTCTAACATTAAGGTGATATGAAAATGGCGTCAAAGAGATCTCTCCTTCATGAAACTTTCGACCATTCTGCCCCATTTTTCGGTTCTAACATTAAAGTGATGTGAAAGTGGCGACAAAGAGGTCTCTCGTTCATTAAACTTTCGACCGAATTGAGTGTACTCAATCGTTCCACACTTTACAGTGTGAACATGGAAACTATAAAGAAAGTCCTGACACCCCTGATTTTTCAATTTCTTTTAAATTTACTTATAGGCATTTTCAAATTTTTTTTATAAAAAATGAAATTTCATGGGTTTCGGGACCTTTCTCATAGCCTTCATAGTCACGTCGTAAAGTTTTAAAGGATTCGGTGCACCCAGTTCTGAGAAAAGTTTTATGAACGATTGACCCCGCGGTTGTCACTTTCATGTCCCTTTAAACTCCACCTTACGGTGAATTCTAAGCATAATGCGACTCTTGAGCAAGTCCACGAGGGTGTAAATCTTGAGTTTGGGGGGCGTTGGGGCGCCTGGCACCGAGCACCCCTTTTTGCTCGACGCGATCCCGTTTTAGAGGGAAACTACCGGGAACTTATCTGCAGGAATCTCCGATAAGCGGTTGTGTGAACCTATGTAATCCTATGTAACCCTATGTAATCCTATGTAATCCTATGTAATCCTATGTAATCCTATCTAACCCTATGTAACCCATTTAATCCCATCTAATCCTACATAAATCCATGTAAACCCATGAGCCTGTGTAGGGGCCTTCGACCTTCCTATCGTTCGGTTCGCTTCCACCGCGTCTGCGTCGCGACGCCGCACGACGCCGACTCGACCAGAAGCTGACACGAGTTCCCTTCGGTTTCGCTCTTCAGGGCTCAGTTCGACGCCTCGCGATCGCAGCCGCGATTCGGCGCGTTTCTCTCGGTACCTTTTTTCCTCTGAAATTGGAAGAAACTTTTAAACGATCGGCACCGTCCTAATACGACATCGTAGCTTTCTCAGCAAAGAGATCTAAAGCGACCAGAAGCTGACACGAGAGCTTTTCGGTTTCGCTCTTCAGGGCTTAGCGCGTTCTTCTCGGTACCTTTCTTCCTCTGGAAGTGGAAGAAACTTTTAACCGATCGGCACCGTCCTAATACGACATCGTAGATTTCTCAGCAAAGGGATCTAAAGCGACCGGAAGATGACACGAGAGCTTCTCGGTTTCGCTCTTCAGGGCTCAGTCCGACGCCTCGCGATTTGGCGCGTTTCTCTCGGTACCTTTCTTCCTCTGGAAGTAGAAGAAACTTTTAACTGATCGGCAACGTCCTAATACGACATCGTAGCTTTCTCAGCTAATAGATCTAAAGCGACCGGAAGCTGACATGAGTGGTTTTCGGTTTCGCTCTTCACGGCTCAAGCCGGCGCCTCGCGATTCTACGCGTTTCTCTCGGTACATTTCTTCTTCTGGAAGTGGAAGAAACTTTTAAACAATCGGCACCGTCCTAATACGACACCGTAGCTTTCTCAGCAAAGAGATCTAAAGGGACCGGAAGCTGACACGAGTGCTTTTCGGTTTCGCTCTTCAGGGCTCAGCGCGTTCTTCTCTGTACCTTTCTTCCTCTGGAAGTTGAAGAAACTTTTAACCGATCGGCACCGTCCTAATACGACATCGTATATTTCTTAGCAAAGAGATCTAAATCGACCTCGCACTCTTCGGGGATGATTCCTCGGATAGGATTTCCCTTTTTCCGAACCACCGTCATCATCTCTGGAAAGGCTTCTGGAACCCGAATCTAAATGGGTTGGAATGTTTGAAAATGAAATCCTAGACAATGTCGAGCTTATGAATCTTATTAATTCGGAGCTGGTCGAGGGTTTATGTTGAATTCGAATCTTCGAAATGCTCGGCGATCGATGAAACCTCACCGCCGATTCAACAGGTCGCTGGTAGGTATAGAAGCGAGCTGTAAATATGTCAGATTGAGATTTTTATGAGATTCTTCGCCTAGTTTCACGCCAAGAACATTTTAGAAGTGACAGAGGGTATATGCGCGAAGGGAGGCGCAAGGAGACTAATGGGAAACAAATGATTACGCCTTGGAATTAAGGGGATGTGAAAGTGGCATCCGAAAGCTCAATTGTTCATAAAACTTTTCCACGAACTGGGGGTCTCAAACCGTTTCATACTTTAAAACGTAAATATGGAGACCCCAAGATAGGTCCTGAAACTCGTGAAATTTCATTTATTATAAACTATTTTTAAAATGCCTATAAACAAATTTGAAAAGAATTGAAATTTCATGAGTTTCAGGGCCTTCCTTATAGTCTCCCTATTCACGTTGTAAAGTTTCAAACCATTCGGTAAACCGAGTTGGGAGAAAAGTTTTATAAACAAAACCTCTTTGACGCCACTTTCACATCACCTTAAGGTGATACGAAAATGTGATATATATATAACAAAAAAAGAAAGTGTGATATATATACATATATATATAACCAAAAATATATATAAAATTTTTCTCCAAACAGGGTGCACCGAATTATCTGAAACTCCAACTCGTGATTATGGAGGCCCTAGGTAATAACACGCTGCTCGTGAAATTTCTTTTTTCGGAAAATAATTTTCTATTTATCTCGGACAAGAACTAAAAAAAGAGATTTTTATTCGAAAAATGATATTTCACGGGCAGTGCGTTCTTCCTTAGAGCCTCCATAATCACGTGTTAAAGTTTCGAGTGAACTCGTGTTTCTGAAGTAGATTACTGACTCCTTGAAGTGATTTCAAATATAAGGGTGTACAAGAATCGCTCCTAATTGCAGGTGTGCAGAAAGTTTATGAGTAACTTTATGGCGATACATTGTGGCATGTAATTACAAGCTCTGTGCGCTTGTAATTACATGCCACAACCGAGGTTTCTCGGAATCGTTCTTCAGGTCTGCGGATCGATGCGAAATAGTTTGCAGTTTCTGAAATGGAGCTCCGCAAATGGCCAGGCTTGAGGAAGTTAAAGCGTCAGAGAATAAGGAAACCTCCGTTCAACTCATTACAAAGCTATCTAAAGAAGACCTTAACGTGCACTTCCGTCGAAATTGCGCCTTAAGCCGTTCCGAATAAGTACCGGATGTGGCATACCCTCACTCCGGAGGCGCGGAATTTCTTCGCGGAAAGTGTCACAATAGAATATTTCACAGAGACACTTACGAGATAAAAATAGAAAAATTACCAATGATTGTTCTTGAAAAATTAAAAATTATAAAGCTATCTAAAGAAGACCTGGACGTGCCCTTCCTTCGAAATTGCATCTTAAGCTGTTCTGTAAATTGTGAAAATTGTAAAAAGAAATACTGTAAATTACCGAGAATTATTAAATGTTGTTGATAATTCTTTCGCGAAATGCCCTTACGCGTCCCGTAATGGTTGTTTTGGGCTCCATTATTTTTATTATTTTTATTTTACTTTTGATGTCAATAATTAAATGAAAGAATTATGTATCAACACTAACGAAAATTGTCTCGATCCTAACATACCCAAATGCATACAAGTAGTAATTAACCGTAAAAGAAAAGAGAGAAAAATAAGCGATTCACTTTCCAAAATGGGACTCTTTCTAAACATGAGAACATACGCGTACCTACTATATCATATTACAAGAAGCTTTATTTAAAAAATTGTGCATAGATCCTTATACGATAAAAATATAAAAAATTAACACAGATTAAAATATATTCCACGTAATACAATATCATTTTGGATCAACTTAAGTTATAGAAGAAAAAATGTACCTAGCCACTAGCTTGTTTAAGTTTTAACGCGATTAGCCAAATATTGCGGAAATATCTCGGAAAAAATTAATTTACGGTACTTTTCGTATTAGGTTCTGTAAAGAAATTAAAATGGAGCGGGTGATGATTCGAAAAATTAATTAATGTTGCATCGTTTCATTTAATATAAGTTATTCCTTCACCTGTTCCAGGTTTTCAAGTCGGTCTCATCCTTCTTGTGGGAGCAAGGAATTATGAGGCATAATCCGTGAAAAAGAGGCGGTTCAAAGATTGGAACCACATGAGCGATAAAGATGATGACGAGGATCTTGAAATCAGCAAGCAGAATAAATTGGAAGAATCGGCAAAAAATGAAACCACCAAGGAAGAGACCATCGACCCTTCTGGGATGTCCCTGGGAGGTTTTAATTCAGGATCCTTCAGTCCGTCTGGGAAGTCCGATGGTTAGTGGCTTTATATTCACTTGACATTCACTTTATATATGAAGATAACTTTCACGAATATAAACAAAATCTCTACTAACATCGTCAAGAAATGCACCTCAAACGATTTTACAAAACATACGCCTCCATAGTAACATAGAATAATTTCTAAATATTTCTTTGTAATCTTTGCTAAATATCTCAAGCGACAGATTTTTTAAGATTTCTTGTAGATTTCATTCGAAGATATATGCAAATATTTGATGAAAATCTCAATGACATATTTAGTTTCAATAATTTATAAACATAGAGAAATTATATTTCTTAACTTATTAACATAATAAAAATATATTTTTTACTTCACGACTATTGTCAGATACTTCATTTGGTATCAAAAAACACGAGAGATTTTTGTAATATTTTCGTTCCGCTTTTTCATTATGGGAGCAAAACGTGTGATATTTTGATTTTAAATATTTTTAAAACGTTTATAATGTATTCGGCAGATAATATTTAAAAAATACTTATATTAAAATGAAACGAAATGTCCTGTACATCTGGTAGATAAATATTATGAAAACACATGGAGGTAATATTATACAAATATTATAGAGATAATATTCTAAAGTAAACGTTTGGCAAATATTTCAAATGTCTGCTAAATATTAACAAAATGTACGATATTCGTTAAATATATAGAAAATATAGGATAAATATTTTGTTCTACTAGGGCTGATATCACAAGAATAAATGTGGATTTTAATACAAAATACGGATCCCACAATATGAATATTATGTTGTACGGTCGAACGACCGTCACGATTAAGAAATTGTCTCAAATGAATTTTGATGTTTTTAGAATACAATAGAATTTGTATGTTTATTTTGAAATATACGGTTTTATATCAATTGAATACATATATTTTTTTATTACCGATTTTTAGGAACTTTGAGTACGATACCTGGCCCAGAATCGAACATTACCTTACCACCGACTCTTCAGGAGCGTTTTTTGCGGATCAGACAATTAGTGAAGGATGCCATAAGTGCTCATCATACATTCATGATCTATGGGAGATCCAGGGTGATACGAGAATGCATGCTGCAGAGGGGCTGGTGTGAAAAGTTCTACAGGAAGTTCACAAACGGTGACTACGCGACGTTAATTTCTAACTTTTTCACACATTTTCGAATTTTTCCCACCTCGGAGTACATAGTACAAATAAATGTTACCTACATAAGTACTTCGGGACTCTGCAAGCAATAACTTTTCTCTACAACATTATTCCATTTTTTAAGTCGTTGAGTTGTAACATCGTCTCTGTTAACTGCATACAACTTTCCGTTCCGTAAAGTTCAAACATACACGTTCTACATACATTATTTTAATACACCCCTAGTAGCACAAAATAATTTCTAAATATTTTTTTCTAATCTTTGATAAATATCTGAAGCAACAGATTTTGTAAGATGTCTTATAGATTATACATATAATAAAAATACACTTTTTACTTTACGATTATTATCGGACACCTCTTTTGGTATCGAAAAAGCACGACGAATTATTGCAATATTTTCGTTCCGCTATTACATTATAGTAGCAAGATATGTGACTTCGATTTTACACATTTTCAAAACGTTTATAATGTATTCGGCAGATAAGATTTAAAAAAAAATACATTAAAATAAAACGAAACGTCTTGCAAATATTTCCAATGCCTGCTAAATATTTATAAGATGTACGATATTGGTTAAATATATAGAAAATATAAGGCAAATGTTTTCCGCTACTGGGGACCGTACGTAAGAATTATTATCCTACAATATTTCCAAGAATGACAAGAAACTTAATAGTAAAACTACGACCATAAATTTATATACCATAATAGTTATGCGTACACTCAATTAATTTGATAAAATTGGGCTTTTTTTAGCCGATCAGTACATAAATGCGGATTCGAGTCCCGTAGCTCTTCTCACTGGCATTGGAGACCTGAAGGACCAACAAAGTGAGCGTCAATTGATCTCAAAACTGTTGACAAATCACACCGTTGACTTCCTCTGGAACACCGGCTCGGAGTGGCCAGGATGGCCTTCCCAGGACAACAAAACCACCCTTTTCAATCGGTTTTCCAGGGCTGGTTTTACCTCCAAGGTAAGTTAGTAGAATCTAAAGTATATAGAAACGTTGCAAAAGTAGGTTGAGTCTGTATGAAACATCAATCGTCCAGGTCGGCTTGTGCTCAAACGTCAGACAAATGCACTGGTATTACGAGCCGGGGGTGGCGAACACTTTATTTCCGAGGTGCTATAATATATGCCAGGGTGACCAAATGCACGCCTTCATCGAGGACTTCCGGTAGGCTTTCTAATTCACATTTATAAATAATAACTTTCTCCTAAGCAATAATTTGGACAACAGAGCAAAAAATTATTATCAATAAAGGAAAGAAACAATTCATTTCTTCTGGGAACAATATCAGAACCCGGTACGGGAAACCCATCTAATGATACCTAATATCCCATTTTGAGAATAGGTTCACGTAACTTCACATAACTTTCCCCTAAACATTAATTTCGACAATGGAAAAACGAATTATTATCAATAAAATAAAAGAAACAATTCATTTCTTCTGGGAACAATATCAGAATCCGGTACGAGAAACCCATCTAATGATACCTAATATCCCATTTTGAGAATAGGTTCACGTAACTTCACATAACTTTCCCCTAAACATTAATTTCGACAATGGAAAAACGAATTATTATCAATAAAATAAAAGAAACAATTCATTTCTTCTGGGAACAATATCAGAATCCGGTACGAGAAACCCATCTAATGATACCTAATATCCCTTTTTGAGAATATAGGTTCACGGCGTGTCTGAGTCTTCTTAAGTGGCTAGTTGACAAAATCGAGAACGAGGGAGAAAACGCCACGAGGTCGCCAACAGGAACGATTCCTCTGAAGGCTTTGGACTTCGCGATACGAAGGTGCACAGATTACATTGGAGCTCAGTCTCACGAAGACATCGATCAGGAAGTCGAAAGAGTCTGGTCTCATCAGTGGGACCAATTTGTTTCTTGGTATTACAAAATTGTCAACGGACAGGCCCACTTCGTCAGGAATAGTGTACCCTTCCACGTGAGTCCTTAAGATGATATGAAAGGCGCTGAGAAATTTAATCGACGTCGATAAAATAAAATTCATCTATACCCTTTTTGGTGGTAATGTCATCCCGAATACTTAAGCGGTAATATAAGCTGGCACGTCCCTTTACCGACATTTATATTTATGTTGAAGTCTTTTACAGTCCACGTTGAGAATTATGCGAACTGAAGCGTTACATGTGTCATTTCGGAAAAGTCATCATAAAGAGATCGATGTAAAACCGTCGAAATCCCGTGAATTCATTATTTTAACGACTGTTTAGCACCAGCGTCGCCATCTGTGACGTTTAGCTGCAACTAAATTTTTGCTTAAAATAACACGTGTTGGCCCCGAGACAAGGCAACATTCTCTTGCAATCGTTGGGGAAAGTATTTTCCATGTTTTCCCATCTGACTCTGTAATATTCCATTTCTACGGTATTCTAAATTGTTCGAGCTAGGTCCTGAAACTGAAATGTCATGAGTTTCAGGATCTACTTAAGGCCTCCACATTTACGTGGTAAAATTTGAAACAAATCGGTACCCCCAATTCGGGGAATACTTTCCCTACCAATTTTTCTTCTCAGATATACATATATAGGCTGACTCTTTCATATCACCTTAAATCTACAAAATAAAAGTATATAAATAATTCCAATACGCCCCTAGAAGCACAAAATAGTACAGAGAAAAAATAACGAACATATTGAACAATATAACAATATGCGGGAAAAAAATTAGATGATTTTAGGCGGAAGTTTAGCGTTTGTTTTTTCTGTACTTTTTCATTGCATTTAATTTTTTATGGGTGCACGGATAGAAGTACTTTCTGGCTTCTCGACACATCTTGAAGAAGGTGCGGAAGTACTGGCCACAGCTAGACATGGACGGGATCATGAACATGTGGATCCTGAAACCTGGGAACAAAAGTCGTGGCCGCGGTATAGTCCTGATGAACAAACTAGAAGATGTCATTGCAAGAGTGAATCCTGCCAATAAGATGGACACTCGCTACGTCGTGCAGAAATACATCGGTAATCATCAATCAGATATAAAAAATAATTCATTATTACAATGAAGAAACCTATCATTACAAGTAAATAAGCAATGATATAAGAGAATTCAATCTTTGCAATTTAGAATTTACAATTTACAATTCGACATTTGCAATTACAATTTACAATTCAATATTTGCAATTTATCGGTAATCATCAATCAGATATAAAAAAGGAATCATTATTACAATGAAAAATCCTATTATTACAAGTAAATAAACAATGATCTAGAAGAATTCAATCTTTGCAATTTACAATTTACAGCTTGACATTTGCAATTACGATTTACAATTCAATCTTTGCAATTTATAATTTCCAGCTCGACATTTGCAATTACAATTTACAATTCAATATTTGCAATTTACGATTTGCAGTTCGACATTTGCAATTACAATTTACAATTCAATATTTGCAATTTACGATTTGCAGTTCGACATTTGCAATTACAATTTACAATTCAATATTTGCAATTTACGATTTGCAGTTCGACATTTGCAATTACGATGTACAATTCAATCTTTGCAATTTACAATCTAGTATTCAATATTTACAATTTGCAATTTAAAATTTTCAATGCAATATCCACTATTCATCGGCACTACAAGTTTACAAGATTAGTTTTCCGCTACTCTTGTATGAATCTACCCTAATCCAGGAAATGATATTAAATATTGTCAATTGCAAATCCTTAATAGCAACTTCAATATAAATTTATTATTCAACAGAACGACCACTGCTAATTTATCACACGAAATTCGACATTAGACAATGGTTCATCGTGACCTGCGCTCAGCCGCTCACTCTATGGCTGTACAGGTGAGACAATTGTTAATTGACTACTTGTTTTCCCGTAAAATAACTCTGCGATAAATTCGGCATACCTGCCCACCAAACATTGTTGTGTAGAAATAATATAACCGTTACATAACGTTTCTAACATGTAACATAACATACATATAACACACAAGTAAGATTTGCATTACTGTTTCCTCCACAGCTATATAACCCTGTTATAAAACGAATAATGTAACATATACATAACATATCGGTAACATGTTATATGTTACGTTAATATTATATAACTGCACTGCTTACAAGTTTGTAACAATGTTACCGAACGGTAATAATTCGACATTATATAATATCAATATATCTTTTGAATAACATTCGTTATATATCATGTTATTCCCCTGTTATGTAATTGTAACGTAGGGTGTTGGGTGGGCAACCTATGCAGTAAATGCAGTAAATCGAGTAACTTGGAGTGAAATTAATATATCTTTTGAATAACATTCGTTATATACCATGTTATTCCCCTGTTATATAATTGTAACATAGGGTATTGGGTCGGCAATCTATGCGGTATATGCAGTAAATGCAGTAAATCGAGTAACTTGGAGGGAAATTAATGTATCTTTTGAATAACATTCGTTATATACCATGTTATTCCCCTGTTATATAATTGTAACATAGGGTATTGGGTCGGCAATCTATGCGGTATATGCAGTAAATGCAGTAAATCGAGTAACTTGGAGGGAAATTAATGTATCTTTTGAATAACATTCGTTATATACCATGTTATTCCCCTGTTATATAATTGTAACACAGGGTGTTTGATGGGTAACCTATGCGGTATATGCAGTAAATGCAGTAAATCGAGTAACTTGGAGTAAAATTAATCTATCTTTTGAATAACATTCGTTATCTACCATGTTATTCCCCTGTTATATAATTGTAACACAGGGTGTTTGGTGGGCAACCTCTGCGGTATATGCAGTAAATGCAGTAAATCGAGGAACTTAGAGTGAAATTAGCTCAGTTAAAAGCGGGGACAAGTCGCGGTCCTCCGTACCTTTGCACCGGTAATTAGTAATAACGGGTAATGTAAAAGGGGCCAAGGCGATGCGTCTTGCGTGAGTAAATAAATGCCCCCTCGAAATCGGGCCGAATAACTTTCCGAAGGGAAGGTTACGCGTCATGTCCTGACGTCGACGTTATTCCGCTTCCAGGGAAAGCTACCTGCGCTTCTGCTCGCAAAAGTTCTGTTTGACCGACTTCCACGAATCGATACACCTGTGCAATCACGCGATCCAGTGCAAGTACAAGAATAGCAATGACAGGGATCCGGCACTTCCTGTGGACAACATGTGGGATGCGACGACTTTTAAGAGCTTCCTGGAGTAAGAATCACCAATGAGACATTGTCAAATAACTAAGGAAAGGGGAGTGAGATTCTTCCCTAGGAAATATTTCCCCACATTTGCGTAAAACCAATGGACATTATTTTCATCTAATCGATATTATAATCAATTTCTTGTGGGCAACGTGTGGAATGAAACAGCGTTCAAGCGGTGCCTGTAATAAGGATCCGCAATGAGAAGAGATACAAGAATATAATATTTTTTAACCAATCCATCTAGAAAAGCTTTCTCATAACGAGAAATAAAAAATATAATTTTCTCAATTAAAAAAAAATAAGAGATGAGCCACCCTTAAATATGATTACGTTTATGCCAAAAATGGTCCAATTCAAGTCTAAAAATCTGAAAAAAAATATATGGTGTGTATGAACACGAAGGAAATACGACGTGTCTGGATTTTCCCGAAAAAAAAATATTGGCCGGGGCAACTACCCTCGAACGCTCACCCCTTGATTTTTTTTTTATTTTTTCATTTCTCGTTATGAGAAAGCTTTTCTAGGTGGATGGGTTAAAAACATATTACGTTCTTGTGGATGAAACCGCCAAATCGCTCTTTGACCTGCCTTACTTTGGATGGTAGTTTCACCCCCTTAAAGTGTTTAATGGCAGATAAAAAAAAAAGAAGGTGTCGCTTAATTTTTAGTCTACTATAACATATTATAAAAGAAATCGAATCGGAGAGATCGACCTGGGATACCTTCCTTGATAATCTCGACACAACTTGATCCATTCATAGACAGGCTAATGAAATAATATTGCCTACAATTCTAATAAAATATTTCTTCCCGCCTATCTTCTTTTTCAAGATCTCAAGGTCACGGAGATGCCTGGGACGAATTGATCTATCCAGGGATGAGACAAAGTCTGGTGGGCTCGTTGCTGGCAAGCCAGGAGGCTATGGACAGGCGAAAAAACAGTTTTGAGCTTTATGGAGCCGATTTCATGGTGATGGAGGACTTCTCCGTGTGGTTGATCGAGATCAACAGTCATCCCGACATGAGCTACTCCTCCAGCGTTACGACGAGACTATGTCGCCAAGTCATGGAGGACACCATCAAAGGTGGGCACACTTTCCAGATATTCTAAAAAACCATTCAAGATACGTATTTCAGGATTTTCCAATTCTCTCACAAAATTGTCACAAAATGAAAGAAATAAAAGACGAAATATAGTATACAATTCCAGTGGTGAATGAAATTCCCGGTACCCACTGAACACCAAACCTAACAGTTACGTAACTTAACACTAACAAATAACATAACGTTTGTTACAATGTAATAACCTAACAATTATGTAACATGGAGCTAACAGGTTACATAACATTTGTTACGATCATATCTATATAAATGTAGCATAACTTTGTTACTCTCATCTTAGATTATGGTACTGTCCTGATATTACTGTGTGCACGCAGCACATATTTGTAACAATACAGAACTACATTGGTGCTAACTGTCATTTATTTTATTAGATCATCGTCATCGTCATTATCATAAGATTAATATATGTCATATTTTGTTTACTACTCGTATGAAAAAATCTGATTTTAATTCGTTCGCGCATGTACATTATCAGTAATTGTTTGCTAGTCGAATGAAATCATAATAGTCTTTAAGTAAAATCAGATAGTATATCATTACATAATTTAATTGAAAGTCTGATANTATTATAATAGGAATTTTAAAAAAGAATCTACATTACTTCATCGCATTTTTCAACTTTTTGTTTTATGGAGTTAATCAATGTGTGCACTGAGCGGCTCATATAACAGTGTTCACTGGGTACATACTTCGTGCGTTTCAATTTTCTTCAACGTAGTCATAAATTAACCCTTTGCACTCCCAAGGCCTTGGAGTTGACTGCCTGCGTATTGACAAATTGCTTGGAGTGAAAAGGGTTGAAAAAAAAACAAAGAAAACAGGAAAAATAACATTTAACAATTCCAGTGGTGGTCGATTATCGGGAGGACAAGAACGCGGACACGGGGCAGTTCGAGCTGGCTTATCGGCAGAAGATGCCGAGTTGTCAGCCTTATTTAGGAGCGGCATTGTCTCTTCAAGGGACGCGAATAAGCGTTGCCGAAAAGCGAAATCACCTGGGTGGCCCCGGACTCGCCCCTCAGTTGCGCGATTCGAGGCAAAGCCTCGTATCGGGCTCCTCGGCGATGGTGAGCTTCTACCCAGGAGTAAATCCAAATAAAATAAAAGGAGGAATAAAGTTTTTAACACTATTTCTACCAAAGGTGTCAAAAGACACCTTTTAAAATTTTACCTTAAAATTATTTTCAAAGTTTAATAATTCTTTCTCAATTAATGTTTTGAGTTTTCTTATAGTAATTGTTACATTTATTTAGCGGTATCATTTCCCTCCAGCTCATCAAAACCTTTTGGTCGAAATAGGTATACACAAAATCGTGGGAGAAATAGTGTTAAGATTATATGAAAGCCGCCGAGAAATTTAATCCAGGTCGATAAAATAAAATTCATCTAAACCCTTATTGGTGGTAACGTCATTTTGAATACTCAAGTGGGAACATAAGCTGGCGCTTCATGTTACAGACATTTATATTTATGTTGAAGTCTTTTACAGTCTACGTTGAGAATTATACGAACTGAAGCGTTCCATATGTCATTTCGATAAAGTAACGATAAAGAGAGCGACATAAAACTGTTGAAATCCCGTGAATTCATTATTCTAACGACTGTTTAGGACCAGCGTCACCATCTGTGACGTTTAGCTGCAACTAAATTTTTCTTCTAAAAACACGTGGTAGCAACGGGACAAGCCAGCATTCTCTTGCAATCGTTGGTGAATGTACTTTCCATATTTTCCACATTTTCCCGTATGACTCTGTAACATTCCATTTTTACGGTATTATAAATCGTTCGAGCTAGGTTCTGAAACTCTTCAATTTCGATTCTAAGCCTCCAAGAAGGGTAAAACAGCGAAAACGTGCACTGACCACGTCATGTTCGTTCTAGTCTATGATAAATAAATTAATATTTTATGAAAATTGAAATTTCATGAGTTTCAGCGCCTACTCTAGGGCTGCTAGATGGCGACGTTGGTCCTAAAAAATCGTTAGAATAATGAGTTTTCGGGATTTTGACAATTTTACATCGATCTCTTCATTCATTACTTTACCGAAATGACATATGGAACGCTTCAGTTCGTATAATTATCAACGTAGACTGTAAAAGAGTTCAACATAAATATAAATGTCGGTAACGTGACGTGCCAGCTTATGTTCCCACTTGGATATTCAAAATGACGTTACCACCAAAAAATGTATAGATGAATTTTAATTTATCGATCCCGATTAAATTTCTCAGCGCCTTTCATATCATTTCAATAGAGATAACCGACTCTTTCGTAGACTGGCCTTCCCAGGAACAAATCCACTCTACACAGCCATATCGGTCCGGTCATCGTGGACCTTATCGAGGAGCTCGAGATCCAGCTGGACCAAGAATTCTACGCCTACTATAAAATGGAATCCGCGAAACTGCGCCGAGCACTGCCGCCTCCTGTAGCTTCTGATAAATGCTCCAGATCTTCGGAAAAGCTCGCGAAGCCGAAAAAGACCACGACCACCTCTTCAGGATCCCCAACGTTGAAGACCGAACCGAAGAACGATTTTCCGACAGAAGGAAATGACCAATCCAAGGCCCCTGAGACCTCGCCTGCCGCAAGAGTAAGGATGATTGATTAAAGCGTTACATGCAGTTGTCATAGGCGAAATTCAAGAGTTTCCTTCCGTAACTAAAATGCATCTTTTAATTGAAAACAGAGCGTGATTTCATAGTACAATTATTGAACTTAATATATAAATTTTTTTTTGGCAAGAGATATTTAAAAATTCGCGAGGTATAGCAATTCTCTGAATAAGTTTTTTTTTTGCGGTGACGATATCAAAAGGTATTCCACCGATCGACTTCACATTGTTTTGGGCTAATTCTACACATGGAAGACTACTGAATGAACGAAGGATTCTTTTTTTTTATGAAAACTTGCCGTTTTATTAAGGAAAAACAAGTGTTGTAAGATGAAAAAAATGATTTTTCAGTGAAACCCCTGCCATTTTGGTAAGAATCGGAATTTTCGAAAAATCCTTCGTTCATTTGGCAGTCCTTCATGTGTAGAATGTACCCTGAGCAATTTGAAGTCCATCGGTGAAATACTTTTTGAGATATCGTGGTCACCGCAAAAAAAAAACCTTTTTCGGAGAATTGCAGTACGTTGCCATTTTTTTATAAATATATCTTGACAAAAAGAAATTATGTATTAAGTTCAATAATTGTACTATGAAATCACCCTCTATTTTCGATTAAAAAATGCATTTTAGTTATGAAAACAAAATTCTTGAATTTCACCTATGATAACTACATATAACCCCTTTAACCGGAAATGCTTTAACAGGAAACGTGTTAAGCTATGCTCTATGTTTGACATGTATACTATGCTCATGTTTGACATGTATGCTACGCGCATGTTTGGCACATGCTATATGTTTAAAAATGTTGCTATATGTCGATTAAAAAATGCATTTTAGTTATGAAAAAAAAATTCTGGAATTTCACGTATGACAACTGCATATAACCCCTTAAACCTAAAATGCTTTAACAGGAAACGTGTTAAGCTATGCTATATGTTTGACATGTATGCTATGCTCATGTTTGACATGTATGTTACGCGCATGTTTGACTTGTATGCTACACGCATGTTTGACACATGCTATATGTTCGACCTCCACACGAAACGGTGTACCTGACGCAAGTTTTTCTTATTCCAAAGGTGTTTTTAAAATTGATCGAACCTAAAATCATAATTCCCAAAGTTGCATTCAGATCCCTCTTGAAGATCTTGGAAGCTCGGTCAATTATTGATAAAAATAACAGTAAAAATAATAGTACACCTCTCTGGGGGTGTTCTAGTCCTGGTCAGGTATAATTGTACAACATGTCTGTTTCAGAAGTCAGTACACATTGTTTAATTAAAAACAATATATATTTCCTATTTTAGCCCCCTCAGAGCAGCTCGAACAAAAGCAAGAATTCCGGATTCGGAACCAGAAGAAGTGCACCTCGCAAAGCCAGTGGAAGAGTTCGAACTTTCGTTGGATCTTCCCGATTGGGCCAAGTTTCTGCACCGGTGCAGCAAAGTCTGATTTCCAAGATTCTAGAACTACAGCAACAATCGACCAGGACGACCGGCATGTCCAGGGCGGAAAAGCTGGCCCACGTTCGTCAAACCGAGGAAAAGGTAAGAAGACTGCGGAAAAAGCGGGTCGTTGTTTAATTTCAACGGAAAAATTCTACACACCCACCAAACCCTTATGTTACAGTTACATAACACTGGGATAACATGATATATAACAAATGTTATTCAAAACCTACGTTAATATTACATAACGTCGCATAACCTTTCGGTAACATCTTTGCAAACTTGTGAGCATTGCAGTTATATAATGTCAACATAGCATATAACATGTCACCGATATTATGTATACGTTACATTACTCCTTTTATAACAATGTTATATAGCTGCGAAGGAAATAATACAAATCTTACTCATATGTTATATGTATGTTACATTACATGCTACAAACGTTATGTTACGGTTATGTTATTGTTACATAACCGCGTTTGGTGGGTAAAAACAAAGGTGAGGCGAAAGTATTAAGCATTGATTAATTTCGCATTGAAGTTTTGTAATGAAAATATCTGGTCATTAAGATGATATGAAAGGCTCTGAGAAATATAATCGAGGGCGATAGAATAAAATTCATCTCTACCCTTCTTGGTGGGAATGTCATCCCGAGTACTTGAATGGTAACATAAGCTGACACGTCCCTTTACCGACATTTATATTTATGTTGAAGTCTTTTACAGTCTACGTTGAGAATTATGCGAACTGAAGCGTTACATGTGTCATTTCGGAAAAGTAATCATAAAGAGATCGATGTAAAACCGTCGAAGTCCCGTGAATTCATTGTTCTAACAACCGTTTAGGACCAACGTCGCCATCTGTGACGTTTAGCTGCAACTAAATCTTTGCTCTAGGAACACGTGTTAGCCCCGGAACAAGCCAGTATTCTCTTGCAATCGTTGGTGAAAGAATTTTCCATATTTTCCCATCTGACTCTGTAATATTCCATTTTTACGGTATTCTAAATTGTTCGAGCTAGGTCTTGAAACTCTTCATTTTCGATTCTAAGCCTCCAAGAAGCGTAAAACAGCGAAAACGTGCCCGGACCACGTCATGTTGGTTCTAGTCCATAAGTAAATAAATCTTTGATGAAAAATGAAATTTCATGAGTTTCGGGATCTACTTTAGGGCCTTCATGTTCACGTGGTAAAATTTCGAACTAATCGGTATTCCCAATTCGGAGAATACTTTTCCCAAGGATTTTTATCACTGAGATATATATGGGCTGACTCTTTCATATCACCTTAATATTCGTAATAATTTCTTTCCAAGTCTGCGATAATTTACATACGTATGTAAAATGAAATTATAAGAATTGATATGGCCATGTCTTTCGCGCCACCTTTTCGGGAGTTCTAAGTAAACGTTATAATTGACAAAGAGTAACCTGAAAGAGAGATCAGATAAAAATCAGTTTGATAAGATTAGAAGAAAGAGAAGTGCAGTGGAAGAAAGGCGGAATATCGAGAAGCAAAAATAGAAAGGAAATACGGCGAAGAAAGGCCGAGTGGGTGCTGAAGAGAAGCTCTCTCTACGTCTTCGAGTTCTCGTCAACTGGGTGTTACTTGAAAATCAGTGAATGAAATCGGACGGTAGCATTTCCCAAACCAAACGGTAAATCTACAATATTTAATGGGATGAAATATAATTACAATCATCGACAAAATTCGTAATTACCTAATATCGCGAATGCGCGTTACTCCCTGATAAGCCCAGCGTAGCTCTCATATCTGTCCCGTATTTGTTTTATAACTTCAATTTCCTGGATACAAAACAATATTATATAACAAAATATTGACAGCACAAGGCTGATAGAATTAATTAACATTTTTGCCCATAAGCTTCCCGATGTCAGTGTAACAGAACAGAATCTATATTCCTCACTAGAGAATCACATGTTACGTATTGCACAGATACAAGATCGATACAATTACACACACAAAATAATATTATATATCAAACTGTTTACAGCACAAGGCTGATAGAATTAATTAACATTTTTGCCCATAAGCTTTCCGATGTCATAGTGTAATAGAACAAAATCTATATTCCTCCCTGGAGAATCACATGTTATGTATCTCTGAAAATCCGATAAAAATTGAACAAGAATATTGAAATTACCAGGAATTAATATAAACATCCAATCCTACGTCTTTATATATTAATATATGTTAAAATCTGGCACGAAATTGCACCTAATGATAGCTCAAAAGAAAATATACGTTTACTTCTATACCCACCAAACCCTATATTTCAATTACATAACACTGAGATAACATGATATATAACGAATGTTGTTCAAAAGATACATTAGTATCAAATAACGTCAAATTATTACCGTTCCATAACATTGTTACAAACTTCTAAGCATTGCAGTTACATAATATTAACATAACATATACCATGTTACTGACATGTTATGTATGTTACATTACATGTTACAAAAGTTATGTAATGGTTATATTATTGTTACGTAACCGTGTTTGGTGGGTAGATCACGAATATAATTTGTTCAATTTGGGCATTATGCTTTATCGGACTGCGAAAATGTTACGATAAAAAGGTAATGTCGAGGGTGTTAGGATATAAGTGGAGGAAGACGTTTGTAAGACTCTTTTTACGTCTTCAGATTCTAATCGGCACTGCCCTGAGGGAAGCCGTGGACAGATACAAGAGGAGCGGCACCGTGTCCGTCCGCTTGCCGAGTCTGCGGACGATCTGCCTGGACAGGAAGATGAGGTGTCCCTCCAAGAAAAGGAACGAGAAGGTGAGGAACGTCGTCTCGGTCAACATCGCCGAAATTCGCGCCGAAGGACTGAGCCTGATAGGATGAGTTTCCTTCCCGAAACCAGGACCTAGGAGAACCCCGTCTTCCATGGCCTTTCCTCGAAATACTAACCGATACTGTTCCCTGTAAAAAGAGGCCACTCCTTAAAACACCAAAAATGTCCCCTGTAAAATATATCAAATTTCGAATGAAATATCCTGTACAGGATCCCCAGAAAGAAAGGAGTTCGCCATACACTCAGTTTATTGCGTTTTCTTCTAATCTGTATAGAACTAAAATAGAGGGGAATACGCTCCCAAACGTTAACAATTATTGAGAAAAATACCAAACCAAAAGTATCAAATTTCGAATGAGATATCCTGTACAGGATCCCCACAAAGAAAGGAGTTCGTCATATACTCAGTGTATTGCGTTTTCTTTTAATCTGTATAAAAGGAAAATAGAGGGAAATAAGCTTCCAAACATTAACAATTATTGAGAAAAATACCAAACCAAAAGTATCAAATTTTGGATGAGATATCCTGTACAGGATCCCTACAAAAAAAGGAGTTCGTAATACAGTCAATGTATTACGTTTTATTTTAATTTGTATAAAAGTAAAATAGAGGGAAGTAAGCTCCCAAACGTTAACAATTATTGAGGAAAATACCAAACCAAAAGTATCAAATTTCGAATAAGATATCCTATACCGGATTCCCACAAAAAAAGGAGTTCGTCATACACTCAGTATATTGCGTTTTCTTTTAATCTGTATAGAAGTAAAATAGAGGGAAATAACAACAGATATCGTTATCGTTAGCCTTTGTTATTCCAATGGGCCAACGATAACGATATCTGTCATTACGAGTTACAGAATAGGCCCCCCAGTGGGGCCATTATAATGACACCTCATAAAAAAACGTCACTCAGACGGAAACCAATATACTGGCGTTTCATAATTAAAGGGTTAAATGAACACAAATTAGAACTTAACACAATTTCATTCTACGGAATTGTGCTTACACTAGACAATGTAAATATCTAAGGAAGGAGGGATATATCGCTATAACTAGGAACACATTTTTCTCCTTTTCTTTCCTTTTGTCACTTTTAATAGAAACCTGTTCAGTCGGCAAGTAACAATGTCGAGGGTTACAGAATCTTGCATCAACAGATTTCCTTAAGGACGCTATCATACAAGATTAAGTTACGTAAATTGATCACTTTCGCGTCTCTAATCGTCACTATCGGGTAATATTTTGAAAAGAAAAAGAAACATCGTTTAATCCTAAACGCGGGAACTGCTTCGAGAGCACCCGATAAGCATTCCCCGTATCTTCGTCCTCTTTTCTTCCATTGTTAAGAAGAAGTAAAAAATATATATATACATATATCACTCGTATCTCCAGGATTTCTTGAGAGTTTCATCAACCTCCTACCGGCCGACCACTCTTGCAACTAATTTATTAAATTCCAAAAATTCAGCGAACGCCTTTACACACATAAATCCCACTTTCTCCACTGCTCACACGTCGAACTTCACACGATACAAAATCATACACGCTCTTCCGCCTAATTGGGTTAGTCGGGGTAAAAAAAGAAAAAAAGGAAGACTAGTTAGAGAATTTTAATAACCTACAGACGAAAACGCTGGCAATGCTCAGAATTCCGGCCAAAGGGTGAGAAATCATATTTCCAAAACTACGGGTTTCTGGTTCCTGGATAATTCATCCCGACGGACGAATTCGTAGAAAATCGGGAAGAAACGAGGAGGAAGAGTGGCGGGAATCGACCGACCTCGCCGACCTCGAAGACGATGGATCAATCTAGTTCCCGGACCTTTTGTTGCCCGAGGTCGGGCCGACGTCCAGTAGGACGCAAAAGGTCTGCACTTCGATCCTCCGAGGTCGAGTCGGCTCTTGGTAACGCAGAAAAGTTCTGCACTTAATCCCTCCGAGGTCAAGTCGGCGCTCGATAACGCGGGATTGATTTGATATACCGAGGAATAAAAAAAAAAAAAGAAGAAGAGAGAGAAAAACTCAACAGACCGGCTCCGCCATCGGACGCGCGTCTCTGGCGAGCCTTCGACGAAGGCTTTTGTCCGAAAAGCGGGCCAAAAAGCGCTATCTTCGAGGGTAACATGAAAAGGGACCAGAAGATCCCTCAGGAGTTGTCACGGTGCCCTTAAGCGGTTTCCTTAAATAAATAAAAAATATTAAAAAGAAAGGACGAGCACTGGATAGATTACGAGGATAAAAGGACCGTCTTTTACCCACCCGAGCTTACCTCCCTGCAATGTCTAATGTTATCTCAAGTCTCACGCTTTACCCATTCTACGTTAATAAAACACAGGGACCATTTACCATATATCCTTGCAACCAAACGGTCCCATTCGAAAGTAATTCAGGACCTCTAAGTACCCAAATTTCCAAGCGATATCTCTCTCGATCTCAAAGATGCAATCACGAGTCTGCAATGTCGGTAAGCTCGGTCCGTAAGAGGTCATTTACAGATTGCTCCGATGCATCGCTCGCTTTCATGCTTCCTCCCTTTATCTTCCTTTCCCGTCTTCCTCCTTTTTTGAGAAAACCGCTTCTGAGGAAACCATGCCCGGAAGACCACGCGTTTCGGCCCGGAGATGGTGTCGCTTGCGTGACATCATGTCATCGCGGCCGCGACCTTGAAGAGCCACATCGACGACCACCCTGGCCCTGGGGTCGGACTCAGGGGAAAGCTCGTTGTCGTCGCGCTCGTGTCTCGCTTACTGCCGCACGCGGGGTGTACAGAGACTCACGTAACCGGCTTCAGGGTAAAGGACAGCTTCGGCCTCGAGTTGTTCTTCCCCAGGATCTTCTTCTGCTCCTCCTTGACTCGCTTCTCGTGCTCTTTTCTCATCCGCTGCCTCTCCTCCTCCATGAGCCGCTGCTCCTCGACCATCGCGAGTCTTTCCTCGGCCTGGAAAAACGATTGACCGATTAGTGAATAATTGGACTTAGATTTACTTTACGTAAAATTCAAGGCCGATTAGCGCAATTGATCTTTAACCCTTTTGCTACGACTGGGGATTATAGTCGCTGTTTATAAACGCCATTCATGTACGACGGGTGACTCTAATCACCCCAAATGTATCCCACTTACTGAAATAATAAGTACCTATGTAATCGTCGCTGTATCAAGGTCTTGTCCGTAATTAGTACATTATGTACCAAGGGGGAAACGAGGGACTTTTCACAATGAGTAATCCTTCCGAATATCCTCCCTCTTGGTACGTACGCTATTTACTATAACGAGTGCATGATTGTAGAGGTTTCTTGTAGCACACGTGTGATTTCCGATTCTCTGATAATGTCACCTCATTGATGTTTATTCAATTATTCACCTCTGAACGGGCGACGTCAGGGGTAAATAATGAACTTCTTCCCCTTTTGACGTTATCACGCTCGAAATGCAATACTTTACGCCCATATAATAGGCAATCGTGATACGTAATAAGAAATCGTGTACGTGATATGAAACAGTATATTGAGGTATCAAGGGCGTAAAGAGGGTCGTTTTAATTAGTATAATCGTCGCCATCGAACGAAGCGAGGACGGAAACTTCACCCTCGTTAAAAAGACCTTCTTTATGTCCTTGATACATGATATACTATTTCGTACTTCTATGAACGTTTTTTCTTACTACTATTATGCATTACATTTACGAATTTAATGAGATGTACTATTTCGTACTTCTACGCTCTTTTTTCATCCTACCATTATATATTGTTTACGAATTTATATCCTTGATACACGATGTACTATTTCGTACTTCTACGCACTTTTTTTCTTACTACCATTATGCATTACATTTACGAATTTAATGAGATGTACTATTTCGCATTTCTACGCACATTTTTTCTTACTACCATTGTGCATTACGTTTACGAATTTAATGAGATGTACTATTTCGTCCTACCATTATGCATTACGTTTACGGATTTATATCCTTTATATCCTTGATACACGATGTACTATTTCGTATTTGTACGCACTTTTTTTCTTACTACCATTATGCATAACGTTTACGAATTTAATGAGATATACTATTTCTTACCTCTACGCTTTTTTTTCGTCCTACCATTATGCATTACGTTTATGATTTTAACGAGACTATGTCAAAACGACGGACTGTCATAGCGAAAGGATTAAAGAAAAAGTTTAAAACTAAAGCATTAATGACTGAAAAAGAGGCATTTCTTCCTGAAAATTTACGCGATAGTCAGTTGTAATTGCAGGACTACTAAAGAACTCTGGAAATGAGAGCTCGTCAGGACTAGGTATACCGACGATTGCAGTTTCTCCTTGCTTTCAGAAATTGGAAAGCATCCAGAACGAGAAAGCATTCAACCATTTTTGAAATAACACGATATGTGAAGAGCGTGAAACACGTTCTTTTTCGAAGAGTATCGATTCTCCTTATTTCACCTTTTTCGTTCAGCTGGCAAAGACATTCTTCGGTTCTTCGAGTCTATTACATTAATGCATAAGTAATGACGTCTTTTTACACGTAACGTAACATGTTAAAATCACCATTACTTATGCATTAACTTCGAATCTATTAGGTTGATGCATAAGTAATGGCGTCTTCCTACACGTAACGTAACATGTTAAAATCGCCATTACTTATGTATTAACGTCGCATCCATTAGGTTGATGCATAATGACGATTTTTTTTACGCGGGACGTAACGTGTCAAAGATGCCATTACTTATGCATGAACCTAATATTTCAATCGCCCACAAGATCCCGAATGCAAATACTCAGCGACGTTGCCCTAAGACTTCCACGCCGAATTTCTTTCATCCTAATCCCCGAAGAACTCTAAAGAACTGCATCGTCGGTAAGCTCGTCCATTGGAGATGAATTTTCAGGCTTACCTTAAATAGCAAAGGCAAAAAGATGTAAAGTAATTAAAAAGAAAAGAGGGGCAAAGAAAATGCGCAGCCACTCACCAGCTTCTTCTGGGCCTCCTCGATCTTTCTGTTGTTCTCCTCCATGATCCTCTCAAGCTCCTCGCGCTTTTTCCGCTCTTCCTCCTACAACGACAACAACGTACGTTCACACAACGCAACGACACCGCTGGTCGCACTGCTGATCGTTATTACACCGTTCATGTCGACAAAAAACCAACACAGTGCCGCTAGCCAACAGCCTAGTGTTATACATCCTAAGGAACCTTTTACAACGGGGCGGGGCAAGGTCAAACAGGAAAACGTGAACGTCTCTTCCTTTCTTCCTCCCTCTCTTTCTCTCTCTCTCTCTCATTCTCCCTCCCTCTTTCACCCTTTTCTCCTGCTCTTGTTTAACAAAGATACGGTCAAATTAAACGGATTTCCCGGCAAAGGTCGGCCCGTCGAGGTGGAGGACGCGGTGGCTTCTCTTCAGGGTAGAGATCCGCGTCTTCCCGTTTGAGACAGGTTGACCTTGATCTCTAACCGGAAGACAGGATCCCTTCTTAGAGCTCGAATTCCCTGTCTTTCTGTTTGAGACAGGCTGACCTTGACCTCGGCGAGCCTAGATGATAGTATGCAAATGGATGTCAGTTTGTATGTGCATATAAGTATGTATAAAGATTTCACGTAACCTCGATACGCCAGGACGCTTAAATCGGTTTTTCGTTTACACTGGACAAAATCTGTGTCAATATCACTGATATAAACATAGCATTATCGACTATATCGAGCAAATCGCAATTTAGTAGAAACCCGAGGACGGAAAAGACAATGTTCGGTTATTTCGATTGATTTAAACGATCAAATGCGACATTTTAACGGTTAATTCGTTATTAGGAAACTCGGTAGAGTTCGCGGCAAATAAATTTTATCATGCGCGAAGCTATACGTATGCGCAAACGTCACCGAGTCCTTAACGCCAAGTTTGCACGCGTTAAGGTGAAGTAAAACCCCCCTCAAATCACAGTCGATTCCAATAAGACAATGTTTTTTTCAAGGTATTGGACCAAACTGTCCGAAACTTTGGCACATAACTCGTGATCACCTAAGAATTGTCCTGACACATTCAAAAATTGGATTTTCCGAAAGCATTTTTTAACTTAGCCCAGACCAGAAATAAAATGGCATCGAGCTGTCATATTTCGATCAATATACAATTATCGAAGGCTCCAATATGAGAAACGAAAGGATCGGGACAATTGTACGACAACGTAGAACACTCTGGTAATCGAGAAACTCGCATTTGAACGTGATAAAGGCAAAAAAGAGTCTTACGCGCTTCTACGTTAAAATGATGGCAACACAAGGTCTCGGAGTGAAAAGTTAGTTGACTTGGAAATCACAGATGGCGCAGGGGATCACTCTGCAGTCAATTAGGGCCTCGGAAACCATGAATTCAGGGGATTTCTGGAGTTTTACTTCGATTTCTTTATAATTATTGTACGAAAACCACAGATAGAGTATGCCATTTAGTACAATACTCAACATAATTCGACCCAACTGTCGGTATAAAAACGAACATCGGCAACGTAGGTATTTAGAAAAACCTTTTTTACCAACGTCGATCAAGTCCCTCAACGTGTTTCACTTCACCTTAAACTCATACGATTTCATTAACGCGATATCCTTATTTCCAACGAGTTTCCAATAACATCGGCGATTCAATTAACAAAACATCACTTAATTAATTCGTGGCTTATAATTAATCCTAAAGAAAACGCCCCCATAAAAGATTGATCCCTTTTCCCTTTAAACGTTGCCTTTATCATTTATACGAGCCTATTGGTTAACCAAACTCATGAACTTAATCCCCATCCGGTGAACGATTAAAAACACTCCGATCACTAATTTTTTTCAAAAAGTGACTGAAAGTCTTTAACAAAAAGAAAAAGAGAGAGGAAACAATGATCTCCACGTCATGAATTTTCTTCCTCGAGTTCCTCCATTCTCTTCGTCCGTCATTATTAACTCCACCCGATTTCTGGGTTCCACTTTCCGACGAGTTCCTTAAGCGTGGCAGGGCTGCGTGAAACGTGTTTACTGGTGACCCATGAGCGTGTATGAAAATATATGAATATTATGAATATACTGAGTATATAGATAGATATATGTATATATAGATATATAGATATAAATATAAATATAAAGTGGATAATACCTGAGTGGAGCCTCGCGCGCCAGCACGCAGGGGATGCCTTCTTCATCGAGAATCACTCGGCAGTGAGTAAAATACCGGCATCTTCTGTTGGTAGTCAGTTAGGAAGGCGACCTACATATTCGCTAGGTCGTGCTACTCGTTCCTACGGGGGATCTCTAATGCTTTTTCGATATTTCTCTTTTCCTTTTCCTCTGATATCTTTCTCTCTCTCTCTCTCACTCTTTCTCTCCCTCAAGCGCTCTCTCTCTCTTTCTTTCCGGTCGTTCTCTTTTCTCTCTCTCTCTCTCTTCCCGGGCCCGGCTTTCAGGAGTGCACCCGGCCCGATCCCGACCAATCGAGCAGCCCCAGGGGGCCGGAGAGCGAGGCGGGACGGGAGGGGCCCCGGTTCCGGCGGTGCTTTTCGTTCTGGCGAGAGGACATCCGCGCGAGGAGAGGACCACGGGCCCGCTCGTGCTCGCTCTTCGAGGAGCGTCCGCGGAGCTGCGAATGCTCCTCGAGCAGGACCCTCTGGCCCGGCCGGTCGCCGTCCCGAGGTCCAAGAGACGAGGCCAAGTAGAGGATACTTGGGGCGAGACGCAGCCGCGTTTCGGAAAGCTTTGGAGAAAGGAATCTCGTTTTGCGAATACGGGGAGATTAATTGTTAGAGTGAGCTTCGGAGAAAATAGAACTTCCGATCTCGGGACAGAAATGTAATGTACTTGGCGCGAGACGCAGCCGCGTTTCGCAAAGCTTTGGAGAAAGGAATCTCGTTTTGCGAATGCGGGGAAATTTATTGTTAGAAAGGCACTCGGAGAAAGTCAAACTTTCGATCTCGGGGCAGAAGTCTAATGTACTTGGCGCGAGACGCAATTGCGTTTTGAAAAGCTTCGGAAGAAGGAATCTCATTTTACGAACGCGACGAGATTAATTGTTAGAGTGAGTTTCGAAGAAAATAAAACTTTTGATCAAGGGGTAGAATTGTAATGTGCTTGGCGTGAGATACAACCAGGTTTTGTAAAGCTTTGGAGAGAATAATCTCGCTTAGTGAATGCGAGGTAATTAATTGTTAAAAAAAAGTCTGGAAGAAAATGAAACCTTCGATCCCGAAGTAGATGTGTAATATACTTGGCGCGAGACGCAACCGCGTATCGGAAAGTTTCAAAGAGAAAGATCTCATCTCATGAATACGAGGTGTTTAATTGTTAAGTAAAGTCATGGCAAATAGGAGGCTTTCATTCCCAACAATAAAGAGCAATGTTCTTGGCTCGAGACAACACTGAATCTTCTTTAACGTTTGAAATAAAAACTTTCCGCTGGTTACGTACGATAGGACCTAGGATCAAAATCCTTCAATAAAATCCGAGGGCTCATTTTAAAAAGAAAGCCTATAACGAACTTGGCGTAAAACGCTGCTGCGTCTCTCCGCGAACTTTACAAAATATTACCTCAAAATTATTTAAAAAAGATAAAGAAATTCCGCCTTCATATCCCAATTACAGCATTAACAGTCACAGAATTTGCCATTTACTTTGCCCTCGGCAACTAGTTAATTCCGTTTCACTAGAGAAATACAACCAATAAACTATTAGAAAAGTTTTCGTTAACAATTCCTTCACTTCCAAAAAATATATAAACATTTCCATCAATAATCATGTTTCAAAGGTTCCGTTTTCCATTGATCATTAAATACCTCAACTAAGATACACATGCGAGTACGCAAATAACCTCAAAATAAATTTGACGCGAAATTCAAGCCAGTTTCTGATTAAGTTTTTCAAGCTGCCGTCCTCTCGTCGTGCTTCGGGATGTCCTCTGGCAACCACGACGCGTCCTTTCTGTCCGAGGAAGCGCGCGCGATGAGTGCCAAAGGTCCTGCGTGGTGCCCGTTCTCCTCCGAACGATCCAGAGAGGGCTCACCCAGGTCCATCGGAACACCCAACGTGCGAACATAGCCTCTCTCCTCAGGTAACCGTGATCAAACGGCGTTTACTCGCACGTGAGAAAATGGAAAAGAATTTATCGCGCGTTCTCGCTCGACCGACCGCGAGAGAAACGGATCGGGCTTAGGTGTAAGGATTAATTAACAAATGTATCTGGTGGGTCACTAGACGCGATAGCACAGGTCCATCTCGATCCCGAGGGTCCGAGTGCATGTCCCTAGAGTCCATCGATTAGTCCATTAGCGGCCTCAAGGTCGAGCCTCGAGGAGACGCTCCTCCAGAGTGTATTACTCGCAGCGTTCGCGCGGGGAAGCCCCTTAGGGATCTCGCGACGTCGGAGGATACGCTGGGGGAAGCCGAGGCGACGCGACGTAGTGCTTCCTGGTGCGAGCGAGCCCAAACGCTGCGACGTCGCGGCGCCATCGAGGCTTACCTCTACGACGATGGCGCCCGTCGAAGGGTCCTCTCCAGGAAAAGACCAGGGCAGCCGATGGAACTTCGAGGAAAGGAAGAATCCTCCTTCGGTCTCCGGTGAGGAGAAAAGAAGCTACGCAGCTTCTCGGTACATCATCCGGAGAGGAACTTCTTACACCGACCAGGGCCAACCATCGATCGTAGGGGAAAGCTCGTTGTTCGCCACCAGCAACAGCGTTTGGGCTTAGTGTCGGCCAATGTTTCTCTGGATCGGTCTTACCTCTCTACGTTTCTCCTCCTCGCGGAGCTTCGCCTGGCGCCACTCCATCTCCTCCATCATCTGTCGCTCCATTGCCCTCTTAGCCTCTTCGACGCGCCTTTGGACCTCCGCTTCGATCTCTTCCTTGCGCTTCTCCAGTTCCTCCTCGACTCGCTTTTGCACGAGCTCTTCGATGCGCTTCGCCGCCTCCTCCTCGACCATCTTTTGCTCCACCTCGCGCTGCCTCCTGAAAATATATACGTCTTGATGCCGATATCGTCGTGGAGATACCGGCGTATCGAGTCGACACGACGATCTCAAAAGGAATCGCCACAGCTGCTTGAGACATGAAATTCTGAAGGTTTTATACATGATCTTACCCGACCGCGCACGTGGCGAAGACCTTGTTTCCTAATTCTTTCTTTTTCCTAATAACATAGTCGAAATACGGATCATAGAGATCGGCTCGATTACAGGTAAACGCAACAATGAAGCTCCTAAGTGTACCTCTGTCGTTCCATCTCTGCCAGCCTCTCCACCTCGTCCATTTTGCGCTCCCTCTCACGATAGGAGCGTTTCTTGTGCCCAACTACGTGAACGTCGTCGGATATGTCCGACCCACTGCTGGACGATGCGGAGTGAGATCGTTTTCTATAACGGAATGTAATGAAAATATTATTCCATGTGCTCCATTTCGGCTCTGAGATTTCTATTCTAACTCATCGCTATACCGGATGCTCTTGTATACTTGCAAAGCAAAATTAAACAAGTAGAATAAAATCTATATATTATATACCTGAACTTTAACACATGTCCGGAGATACAAATCAATTAATCCAATCGATATCCTTTAACGAGGTAGCAAAACTAACCACGAAAACTCCAAACCTAAACATCGACCACACGAGTCAGAATAAATTAGTCTTACCTCGATTTGGAGCTGCGTTCTTTTGGCTTTTCTGAATACTTGCTGTTGGATCGTTTCTCCCTTGATTTCGAGCGCTTGTGGGAGTGTTTGCTTTTATGTCTCCGCCTGCTGCTAGGCGATTTCGTGCGAGATCTGGACCTACCCATCTTGCCGCTCTCCCGAGCCTTGGGCTCTATGATAAACAACGAATAAAGTACCTCTTAACAAGGCGATCGAGCGAACGCGCCCGTCGTTAATTTTATTTCCACGACTTTGGGCCTTTTCTAGCAGTCTTTCAATTCCAAGCCAGCCTTTTCATGGAAATCGGGAAGACGCCTTAGCGCAACGATGAAAAACCGCGGCGGTTAACCAATTTATATCGACACTCGATTCCTCCTGATTGTCGATTGATCGGCGAACAATTTTGTCCGCGACGCACTCACCGCGTGTCGCACCGCGTCCAATCTTCGCCGATGTATCCACAATTTCTTTTAATAGTCGCCCATATCCCTCAAAGGTGACGGCATCCAAGGGTAGTGGACTCAGGCGGAAGCAGCCTAACCTATAGCCGCTGAAATACTCAACTCGCGACCACCTGACTTTCTGCAAGGTCTTCGGAGAAAAGATGGCGGACTACGTTGGCCAGTTTTCAGCCTTAAACCATATATATCTAGACCAGGGGGGTGCCACTGCCAGAGATGAGTTGGGAGATTGCTCACGGGCAGAGTCGCGCGATCGTACCGTGTGCTGCCCTCTGATTTCGTACGTTAGCTTTCACC